TTTGTTTGTATACCACCAACACCTAAACTTATAACCAGTCTGTTTGTGGCTAGCTACATGTTAGATTTAAAGCGGCCAGGATTAAGTGCTAGCTTTAATGAATTTATCACCCAACCCATACACCTTCTAATTCCATATTTATATATACCAAGCTTTTTTACCCTTAGTCATAAAAGAAAGTAGTATATTATCCTTAGTCATAAAAGAAAGTAGTATAATATAAGTTAATTACATGTACCTCTAAAGATTGTACAAAAGACTTACAGGTGAATAGCACCTGTCAATACTAATTTGGAATTTTAGCTACAATAGAGCTAAATAATGAATACAACTGCAACATACAGCTGTCTATCTAGGACTTGTCACTGATGCTTGAAACTAGAGCTAGGAGGAGACTTGGAAAAATTAAAACTGTCTGAAATAAATATGTTTCCTTCCCTGTGTCCACATGCACACTGTGTCACTTTAGAGTATTTAGTATTTGTACATGGTCATTCCAAAAATACTTCAGTACTTCATTTCTGATAATAAGTATTTTTGAAGGACCCTTTACTAGGTAACCAAGGGGTATGTGTATACCTGTATATTCTCTCCAGAATCTAGTGTTGAACACTCATGTCTAAAAGAACTAAGTGTAGATTCCAATGTACTTGTCAATAAAAATCAAGTGAAGCACTGATACTCAGGCAAGAAGCCAGTATTTGGAAGGAACAGGTACTTCATTTATCTCAATTTGCTCATATGAGCTTCATTCATCCATTTCAAGGGAGACCACCCAATTAAACTATATATTCTTGACCAAAAGATGCTCCATGCCATTCAACCCTACAACCATTGATGGCACTTGGAGTCTTCAAACATTATTGGAAGTCACAGCTATAAAAGTCCAAAATCCATGTTGCTAAATTTGCAATCATTTTTGTAATTGGTTTAGTAAAATCTACTATATAAATGATTAAAAAACAGCTCCAAGATCTTCTCTAACATCGATGTCAAATACCTAAATGTTCCTATCTATTTACAAAAATTCATATTTGCAATTAAAGTGTAAAAATTATGCCAAATAATACATTCTGAAAATAGATTTATTTAAAAGCCAACTGTAATCCTTTCTGGAAATATAATTTTTAAATAGCTACAATCTAACTTAATAATGCAGTGCACTTAATTATGAAAACGAACATTTTCAACCTTAAATATGTAAATGTCTGAAGTTCCTATGAAAAGGGTCATCCAATAGCTTAAGTACTGTTAAACAGATTACTATGGCATATTATTGAATCTGAATTTTATAATTTGTACGTGTTGCACATTATATACAGGGAAATTTTATTTACAATGAATTTTTAAAAATGTCTAACAGAATGAAGTAATGTGTATAATTATGAGTCTCGAAAAATCAATTTGAGATATAATGAAAACCTCTGTTAAACTGTTAGGTGCTCTTCTTGTTCTGAAAATTCAGATACCAGGTAATTTTTTATAAAACAAATCCATAGCCGAGATCCAACAAAATGACTGGGAAATGAAATGTCTTAATTTTAAGGTACCCAAGTGCACAAAAATTGAATTTAAATTAAAAAACATGCTACCATATATCACATGATATTGATTTTATAACACATTTTAAATATAAACTAAATATTTCTTGATGTATGAATATCATTAAGTCTTTGTTAAATATTATGGACTTGGTTTTGTACTGGGAAATATTGTCATCATTTATATAAAGGTCATATAACCTTTTGCATGTCAAATGAACTTTCGATTTCTGAAAATGATTTTCTTTTTTGTAAAATAATTTGTTTCATTTTAATCAATAGCTAGTGTTATACAAGAGCTGAACAACAAAGAACAGTTTTGAATGACTACTGGTACTGTGCTTTGTGACATCACTAAACCGATAGCAAATATATATTTTAAAGTTTTGACTCTCTCAGTTATATTTTACTTATTACACATTTAAAGTAATATACAAATAATAAAATTGAATTCATATTGCATTTCAAACTTACTAAACAACCCACTTTTTTTTGGAGTGTATTAAAATCCTTTTGCTATTTTCAAGGATGGAGTAGAACTCTCAATTAAGAGATTGGTTTCTACTGGGTTTGTGACTCAGTGAACAACTAGTCATTCTGAGGCAGGTCTACTTGGAGTAGTAGGTGACTACTTCACCAAACAACATACCAGAGACTTGTCTAATGCCATCAAGAGAAATCAGGGCAGGGACGTATAATACACTGTTATATTTGTCCCTGATTTTGGTAAAAGTGTCTTGCCCACTTCAGCAGAGACTGGTTTGCTTCTCAGCTTCCTCAGAAATACAAACTGCTCTTGGTTGGGGTAACAAATAGGAGCTTCATATGAAGTAACATAAGCAAACTTTCTAACCCACATAGTTATTGCAGCCTCTTGAAGAATATACATTCTCCATCATATCCTTGGCGATACTTGGAGGAGGGGTGATTTTCTCTTATCAATTTAATTTTAAATCAATATACCCTTCTTTTATAAAAATTAATATACCTAAAAAATTAAATCAATAGAGAAAATCTCTTTGGATATGATGGAGAGGCATACTTAAAGCTATTGGCTAAGGCCTAATTAGCATATTCTCGATGACCAGTGAGACACACTCATGTTCTAAAAGCTTTTGATTCAAATATTTGGTGTAACCACCAAAAACATGGAAAAATACATCCTTTATCAGTGATGAACCTGCAACACTGGGAGGAGCATTTCGCTCCAATAAATACCATGGTGGAGTAGTTCCTATGTTGGAGTGTAGGGTATTGGTAGTATCACAGTTTGTGGGGTTTCATGTTAGTTTTGTACCTGTTTGACCCCTATAAAGACAATTATCCAGACGTTATGTAATGCTGGTGACATCCAAGGATCATGTGATCATTACCCACCCCAGGTGGGAGAACAAATACGAACAAGTATTTGTAATCTGTCAATGTTATCTGTTACCTCAGACATTAACCCCAGACAACTGACTCCTAATACTGACAAGCAGAATTTCTAATGTCTAAAAGATCTTCTGTCTTGTTCTGTGGACTAAATGTCTGTAATAATTGACTGTGATATTTCTGAGATCTATTTTTCATAATTAAATTTCTAATTCTAAGTTCTTTCTTCTTTTCAGCTTTTTTTTATTCATGGAATTGAGTGCTACATTTGATTAAGTGTGTGAGTTTGATTCAGTGTTTGATAGCGTACATTTAAAATTTACATATATTTGAATATAAAAACCCCAACAAAACAAAAGTAGAAATATAGTCCAAATACAAACTATAACGAAATGTGTCTTTTCCTCAGTTCTTGGGGTTTCAACAGTTGTTGAAAGGGAACATGTTTTACTGCAAGCATTCATGTTGCCTTCCCTTTTGTCTTGGTGTCTCCTTGATACCTGGTATGATTTCCTACCAAAGTGCATGTATATCCAAGTGTGCTTCACAATGCAGCTTGAAAAAGTCTTTTTTCATACATCAACCGTTATAAATACAAATTTTGTATAAACATGTAAAACTATATGGTTCAAACTTGTTCACATACCAACCATTAAGGTCATTAAAAATAATTATTCATTGTGTGTTCCTTTTAAATTGTCCTGCAAAAGTATAAATGTGTACTATAAATGAATCTACTGAACATGAAGTCAAATTTGAATAAATCAATCTTGTATATTTTCTTTTATACATTTTTGTAAAACAAATAATTTTACCTCAGTTCTTGTTTTTAACTTCCTAATTCAAATCAAAATAATCCTTTTATCTTTCAATATATAATTAATCCATTTCATTTAGGATAATGGATCTGTGTATAAAACAAGTATTTCATACAATATTCTTATTTATGTTTTTGTTTTTTCATGCAGTCATGCAGATTTGAATTACCATACAAATTTATTATATGTGGCCTAAATTATCACAGGTTTTTTTTTTCCAAAATTAAAACAATAGTTGTTTCTTCTTTGGTCTGTTAACTGTCTAGGGTGTTAAATTTTCCCGAATGGTAAGCTGTTCACCCATAAACATTGACAAAAGCCATATCTAATGAATCGGAGGTGCTAACACAACCAAAGTGTGATAACATTCTAGTTGCTCTGCATTGTCCCTGTCAGTTTACAATGACCTTGTTGCTCTACAGTGACCTTGATGTAAGGTTACATACTTACCAGTTCTTATCTGAATCACAAAAGTACAATACAACTGGATTACAGCTTTGTAGAGACAAAACTTCTAACGCTGACTGTGGTACTACATAAAGTTTGCACCGTTAGCTTAAATCATTCACATCAATGGCTACAGCTCAAAGTAGAAAAAACAAGACGAAGTATTCAATCTAGATATTTAGAATGTCACATTTCAAAATGAAATGTGTAAAAAGTAAATGAAAAAAGGCAATTTTCTTCAGTTTTCAGATTTTTTTTCAGGTACAAAATTTTTCATTTGACTTGTAGGTAAAGCTGACATAGTACTGTTCAGTAAGGACAAATTTTGATTGAAACAATGAAGTTCTGTAGCTGTCATGGTTGTATACCACTCTATTATATGTAGACGAACAAGACAAACAAACAGTGAGCTTTATAATGTTCTTAATTATTCCAAAGTGTTGTGAAGCTTTGCAGGTCTTAAACCAGACTCTGGAATTCACAGAAAAAAACATGGATATGGTCAACTCTAATTGAAAAATTTAGAAGTTATTTTTTTGTTTTGTTTAATGACTGTTACAATGGTGGCAGAGGTCAAATATAAGCAACATGGTAGGTACAATTTGTATTAACATTGTCTTGATGTTTCAATTTGTATTACAAAAAATACAATTTCAAATGATTTTACAATGTATCAATTATTCTCTTGGGAAAGAAAGTTGGTGTGGGTAAATCCAGAAATAATTTCAATTTCCTTTCCTGAGAATTGGAGATTTGGAGGAATTTGCATATGATTTGATTTTAACACATATTTCAATTTCTGCTTTCACTTTCATTTCAGTGGAGTTTGAACAGATCAGGCAGTGTGGAAGGTAAGTTTAGACTCTGTCATATATTTTTCATACCCAGTGATATCAACTATAATCTTTCTTTTCTGATTAAACTCCTGTAAAAAAAAAAAAAAAAGAGCTCAAAGTTGTAATATGTAAACATGTTCTACTGTACACACAAACCAAAGTGTCCAGACATACAAGGTTCTACTGTACACACAAACCAAAGTGTCCAGACTTACAAGGTTCTACTGTATACACAAACCAAAGTGTCCAGCCGTACAAGGTTCTACTGTACACACAAACCAAAGTGTCCAGACGTACAAGGTTCTACTGTACACACAAACCAAAGTGTCCAGACATACAAGGTTCTACTGTACACACAAACCAAAGTGTCCAGACTTACAAGGTTCTACTGTATACACAAACCAAAGTGTCCAGCCGTACAAGGTTCTACTGTACACACAAACCAAAGTGTCCAGACGTACAAGGTTCTACTGTACACACAAACCAAAGTGTCCAGACATACAAGGTTCTACTGTACACACAAACCAAAGTGTCCAGACATACAAGGTTCTACTGTACACACAAACCAAAGTGTCCAGACTTACAAGGTTCTACTGTACACACAAACCAAAGTGTCCAGACATACAAGGTTCTACTGTACACACAAACCAAAGTGTCCAGACATACAAGGTTCTACTGTACACACAAACCAAAGTGTCCAGACATACAAGGTTCTACTGTACACACAAACCAAAGTGTCCAGACTTACAAGGTTCTACTGTACACACAAACCAAAGTGTCAACACATACAAGGTTCTACTGTATACACAAACCAAAGTATCCACACTAACAGGGTTCTACTGTACACACAAACCAAAGTGTCTACACATACAAGGTTCTACTGTACACACAAACCAAAGTGACCAGACTTACAAGGTTCTACTGTACACACAAACCAAAGTGTCTACACATACAAGGTTCTACTGTACACACAAACCAAAGTGTCCAGACTTACAAGGTTCTACTGTACACACAAACCAAAGTGTCCACACTAACAAGGTTCTACTGTACACACAAACCAAAGTGTCCAGACTAACAAGGTTCTACTGTACACACAAACCAAAGTGTCCAGACTAACAAGGTTTTACTGTACACACAAACCAAAGTGTCCAGACTAACAAGGTTCTACTGTACACACAAACCAAAGTGTCCAGACTAACAAGGTCCTACTGTACACACAAACCAAAGTGTCCACACTAACAAGGACATACAAGGTTCTACTGTACACACAAACCAAAGTGTCCAGACGTACAAGGTTCTACTGTACACACAAACCAAAGTGTCCAGACGTACAAGGTTCTACTGTACACACAAACCAAAGTGTCCAGACATACAAGGTTCTACTGTACACACAAACCAAAGTGTCCAGACTTACAAGGTTCTACTGTACACACAAACCAAAGTGTCCAGACATACAAGGTTCTACTGTACACACAAACCAAAGTGTCCAGACTTACAAGGTTCTACTGTACACACAAACCAAAGTGTCCAGACGCACAAGGTTCTACTGTACACACAAACCAAAGTGTCCAGACATACAAGGTTCTACTGTACACACAAACCAAAGTGTCCAGACTTACAAGGTTCTACTGTACACACAAACCAAAGTGTCTACTCATACAAGGTTCTACTGTACACACAAACCAAAGTGTCCAAAGTGACATACAAGGTTCTACTGTACACACAAACCAAGACCACTGTACACACAAACCAAAGTGTCTACACATACAAGGTTCTACTGTACACACAAACCAAAGTGACCAGACTTACAAGGTTCTACTGTATACACAAACCAAAGTATCTACACTAACAAGGTTCTACTGTACACACAAACCAAAATGTCCAGACTGACAAGGTTCTACTGTACACACAAACCAAAGTGTCCAGACTAACAAGGTTCTACTGTACACACAAACCAAAGTGTCCAGACTAACAAGGTTCTACTGTACACACAAACCAAAGTGTCCACACTAACAAGGTTCTACTGTACACACAAACCAAAGTGTCCAGACTTACAAGGTTCTACTGTACACACAAACCAAAGTGTCCAGACTAACAAGGTTCTACTGTACACACAAACCAAAGTGTCCAGACGTACAAGGTTCTACTGTACACACAAACCATGTCTAGGTAACAAGGTTCTACTGTACACACACCCAAAAGTGTCCAGACTAACAAGGTCTACTGTATACACAAACCAAAGTGTCCAGACTTACAAGGTTCTACTGTACACACAAACCAAAGTGTCTACACATACAAGGTTCTACTGTACACACAAACCAAAGTGACCAGACTTACAAGGTTCTACTGTATACACAAACCAAAGTACACACAAACCAAAGTGACCAGACTTACAAGGTTCTACTGTACACACAAACCAAAGTGTCCACACATACAAGGTTCTACTGTACACACAAACCAAAATGTCCAGACTGACAAGGTTCTACTGTACACACAAACCAAAGTGTCCAGACTAACAAGGTTCTACTGTACACACAAACCAAAGTGTCCAGACTAACAAGGTTCTACTGTACACACAAACCAAAGTGTCCAGACTAACAAGGTTCTACTGTACACACAAACCAAAGTGTCCAGACTTACAAGGTTCTACTGTACACACAAACCAAAGTGTCCACACTAACAAGGTTCTACTGTACACACAAACCAAAATGTCCAGACTTACAAGGTTCTAATGTATATACAAACCCAAAAGTGTCCAGACTAACAAGGTTCTACTGTATACACAAACCAAAGTGTCCAGACGTACAAGGTTCTACTGTACACACAAACCAAAATGTCTAGACTAACAAGGTTCCACTGTATACACAAACCAAAGTGTCTACACATACAAGGTTCTACTGTATACACAAACCAAAGTATCCACACTAACAGGGTTCTACTGTACACACAAACCAAAGTGTCCAGACTTACAAGGTTCTACTGTACACACAAACCAAAGTGTCCACACTAACAAGGTTCTACTGTACAAACAAACCAAAATGTCCAGACTTACAAGGTTCTAATGTATATACAAACCCAAAAGTGTCCAGACTAACAAGGTTCTACTGTATACACAAACCAAAGTGTCCAGACGTACAAGGTTCTACTGTACACACAAACCAAAATGTCTAGACTAACAAGGTTCTACTGTATACACAAACCAAAGTATCCACACTAATAGGGTTCTACTGTACACACAAACCAAAGTGTCCAGACTAACAAGGTTCTACTGTACACACAAACCAAAGTGACCAGACTTACAAGGTTCTACTGTACACACAAACCAAAGTGTCCACACTAACAAGGTTCTACTGTACACACAAACCAAAATGTCCAGACTTACAAGGTTTTACTGTACACACAAACCAAAGTGTCCAGACTAACAAGGTTCTACTGTACACACAAACCAAAATGTCCAGACTAACAAGGTTCTACTGTACACACAAACCATACTTTCCAGACTAACAAGGTTCTACTGTACACACAAACCAAAGTGTCCAGATTTACGAGGTTCTACTGTACACAAACCAAAGTGTCCAGACTAACAAGGTTCTACTGTACACACAAACCAAAGTGTCCACACTAACAACTACTGTACAAACAAACCAAAACAGACTTACAAGGTTCTAATGTATATACAAACCCAAAAGTGTCCAGACTAACAAGGTTCTACTGTATACACACAAAGACGTACAAGGTTCTACTGTACACACAAACCAAAATGTCTAGACTAACAAGGTTCCACTGTATACACAAACCAAAGTGTCTACACATACAAGGTTCTACTGTATACACAAACCAAAGTATCCACACTAACAGGGTTCTACTGTACACACAAACCAAAGTGTCCAGACTAACAAGGTTCTACTGTACACACAAACCAAAGTGTCCAGACGTACAAGGTTCTACTGTACACACAAACCAAAATGTCTAGACGAACAAGGTTCCACTGTATACACAAACCAAAGTGTCTACACATACAAGGTTCTACTGTATACACAAACCAAAGTATCCACACTAACAGGGTTCTACTGTACACACAAACCAAAGTGTCCAGACTAACAAGGTTCTACTGTACACACAAACCAAAGTGACCAGACTTACAAGGTTCTACTGTACACACAAACCAAAGTGTCCACACTAACAAGGTTCTACTGTACAAACAAACCAAAATTTCCAGACTAACAAGGTTCTACTGTACACACAAACCAAAGTGTCCAGATTTACGAGGTTCTACTGTACACAAACCAAAGTGTCCAGACTAACCAAGTTCTAATGTACACACAAACCAAAGAGTCCACATTAACAAGGTTCTACTGTACACACAAACCAAAGTGTCCAGACTTACGAGGTTCTACTGTACACACAAATCAAAGTGTCCAGACTAGCAAAGTTCTACTGTACACACAAACCCTAAGTGTCCAGACTAACAAGGTTCTACTGTACACACAAACCAAAGTGTCCAGACATACAAGGTTCTACTGTACACACAAACCAAAGTGTCCAGACTTACAAGGTTCCACTGTATACACAAACCAAAGTGTCTACACATACAAGGTTCTACTGTATACACAAACCAAAGTATCCACACTAACAGGGTTCTACTGTACACACAAACCAAAGTGTCTACACATACAAGGTTCTACTGTACACACAAACCAAAGTGACCAGACTTACAAGGTTCTACTGTACACACAAACCAAAGTGTCCAGACTAACAAGGTTCTATTGTACACACAAACCAAAGTTTCCAGACTAACAAGGTTCTTTTGTACACACAAACCAAATTGTCCAGACTAACAAGGTTCTACTGTACACACAAACCAAAGTGTCCAGACTAACAAGGTTCTACTGTACACACAAATCAAAGTGTCCAGACTAACAAGGTTCTACTGTAAACACAAACCAAAGTGTCCAGACTAACAAGGTTCTACTGTACACACAAACCAAAGTGTCCAGACTAACAAGGTTCTATTGTACACACAAACTAGTGTTCAGACTAACAAGATTCTACTGTGCACACAAACCAAAGTGTCCAGATTAACAAGGTTCTACTGTTATAAGGTCTAGACTAACAAGGTTCTACTGTATACACAAGCCAAAATGTCTAGACTACACACAAACTCTAAGTGTCCAGACTAACAAGGTTCTACTGTACACACAAACCAAAGTGTCCAGACTAACAAGGTTCTACTGTACACACAAACCAAAATGTCTAAACTAACAAGGTTCTACTGTATACACAAGCCAAAGTGTCCAGACTAACAAGGTTCTACTGTACACACAAACCAATGTGTCCAGACTAACAAGGTTCTACTGTACACACAAACCAAAGTGTCCAGACTAACAAGGTTCTACTGTACACACAAACCAAAGTGTCCACACTAACAAGGTTCTACTGTACACACAAACCAAAGTGTCCAGACTAACAAGGTTCTACTGTACACACAAACCTTAAGTGCCCAGACTAACAAGATTCTACTGTACACACAAGCCAAAATGTCTAGACTAACAAGGTTCTACTGTATACACAAACCAAAATGTCTAGACTAACAAAGTTCTACTGTATACACAAACCAAAATGTCTAAACTAACAAGGTTCTACTGTACACACAAACCAAAGTGTCCAGACTAACAAGGTTTTACTGTATACACAAATCAACGTGTCCAGACTAACAAGGTTCTACTGTACACACAAACCAAATTGTCCAGACTAACAAGATTTTACTGTACACACAAACCAAATTGTCCAGACTAACAAGGTTCTACTGTGCACACAAACCAAATTGTCCAGACTAACAAGATTCTACTGTACACACAAACCAAATTGTCCAGACTAACAAGGTTCTACTGTACACACAAACCAAATTGTCTAGACTAACAAGGTTCTACTGTACACACAAACCAAATTGTCTAGACTAACAAGGTTCTACTGTACACACAAACCAAAATGTCTAGACTGACAAATCAAAGTGTCCAGACTTACAAGGTTCTACTGTACACAAAGAGTTTAGACCAACAATGTTTTTGTGAACAGACGAAAAAAGTTTCTAGACTAACAAGGTTCTAACCAAAAGATTAAAAAGTTACAATCTTAGTGCCTTATAGAAGTGGATTGAGTCCTCATTCTACAATGAAGGTGACAATTTTTTCACCTACTGAAATGTTACAGCACACTTTCACATTTTCTTTTATTATATATTCTACTGAAAATTTGATATGTTTTAAATTTCCCCAAGTTCCTGGTGTGTTTTTTAATAAATAACTCCTGTGATAACAACCTATTGTTATTTTTTTTCCTGATAAATTTTAATTCAACAGTCACCACTGATTTATAATTCACCGATTTTTGAGCCGATGACACAATCAGGTTGCTATATCAAGTTAGTCTGATGCATTGTAGATTGGGATTTCTGAACCGAGATTATCTTTGATAACTTAAACATTTAAAATGACCCATAAAAAAGTCAGGTCTATCAATGGAATAAATATCTGATATTGGACGCTTCTACCCTGATAAAATGCCAGATAAAAAAACACTCAACATTCAATTTGCATTGGGGTAATTGATTTAAATAGATTTATTAATAATAATTAAATTGTGTTCTAAAAACCGAAATTCATTTTTATTAGCTACTTTATCCTTCTTTAAAATTTGAAACTCCTTTGAAATAAATTTTTAATGGATAGATCTGCTTTTGTTCTTATTTGAACAAAAATACATCCTTTCAGCTGCTTGCTGCCAAGTTTTATCTGATAGGACAAGTATTAAATATAGTCAGATTAAGGTCTATGGTATATATACACACATTATCTTACATATTATATCAAATTATTATATATCCAATTTAATTTACGAAACCACAAGGCGTTTTATTTTATCCGTAGGACAATATCATTGTACCTCCTATGGAGTTCTTCACCTGCACCTAACAGAGCAAATATATATATATATATATATATATATATATATATACCTATAATGAAAACGCCTAGGGACTGATTCATTACAATAAATTAATGCAAAATTGAACAAGGATCGATAAAGGGGTAATGTAGGGGAATTGGAATATGATATTTGAAACTTTTTGGGTTTTTTTTTTTGAAGAAAAGCAACAATCATTGGTTGATTTTTAATTATCAAAGGTTTTATATATACATATATTTTTTTGTCAGTAAGATAAGAGTTGAATGGCATTTGTTTTTGGTCTGTGATTATAACTTTAGGGTGGCAGTGAGGGAGTACAGGGGTTAAAACTATGGGATTAATGCCAGACAAAACAGAGAAATTCTATCGAGATATAATAACAGTTACCAGTGTCTGTAGGTAATGTTTACATATTAACATTCGAGCTTGATACATGTACATTATATGGCACATCAGATCATGCCAAAATGCCGGATGTAAAACCGATTAAAGGCTTTCGTGGATTTTATGAGGATGAAGAGTCAGATTTTGATCTCAGGTGAGCATTTGATCTCTTGACCAGATGAGGTACTGTGACATTTGATCAAGTTAAACAATACCGCATGACCAAAATGTAGGGTCAAAATGTCAAGAGTCTCGCTGATCCATGCCGTTGATAGCAACAATGAATTGTTTGAAAGACAAGTGAATTACATACACATTTCAATATAAGCAAATCTAGTATGAATAGATACATTAAATGCTAAATAATGAGGTAAGTGGCATCTCACCACTTATTTGTCCTTTTAGAACTTGTCAGTGATACTAGGGACATTCTAACAAGGGAAGAAAGGAAAGCAAGACTAGCCTCATTGAAATTTAAAATCAATTAAAATTAATATGTAAAAACTATAAAATCGAAGTAAAATTGTCCCGTTACAATATAAAAGAAGAGACCCAATGATTCAATCAATTTGTTATATTTTGAATATTAGACAATTTTCAAAGAAAGTTAAACTAATAACAGTTAAGATATATCTCAGCAGTAAACAGTTTTTGAAAATCTCAGATATTGGTTCAGTATTCATAATTATCAGATAAAAATAATCAAGTGTTAGTTCAAATCATGGAAAAAAAATATACTCTGAATGACATGAAATAATGAAAATTTGTAGCTTATAAGCACAGTAAAGACTTTGAACTATTAGGGTAGCCAGAAACAAAAAGAACTATATTCAAAATAACAGAATATTTAGGTTCTGGGTGGCAACCAGGTAACAGAGTACACACAGATTAATTATTTCTAGTTTGTTTGTATATCACTTCAATAACTGTTTGATTTTGTGGCTATAGACATTAAAATTCTATAAAAAGTCCTTTTAATGTTATAAGTGGCTCCAAGTAATCATGTATTGGGACAAAGCAGGTCATAATGTTTGCATGAACTGCCTGTTTCCTTAAGGTGAAAATGAAAAACTGAATCAATCAATTTTTATTTTCCCTTAATCCTTATTCACAGGTACCTGAAATACATATAACTAAAGTTTAGGATTCTGAAAAAATTAGGCTAATTGAACTTTAACCCTTTGCCATATCCTTGACCTTTAGGGTGCGAAACAGTCAATCAGTTATGCTCAGTAGATGTTACTGTGAAATTGTGGTGCTCAATTTTCGTGGTTTTTCAGAAAAATAATTTTTTTGTGGACAATTGATTTTATGGATAAATATCAGTCAACACATGTACTTATATTACTCTTAAAACATAGTGGACATGAATTTGTGGAGAAAGTATACACACAAAATCAGTGACAATGCATAATAAATTATTATACATAAGTAGAGAGAAGTAACAGAGCAAATGATTTGATATGGACATGAGTATTGAAAATCCTGATCAGGAGTTTTTGTCAAGATGTCATGTTTAGAAACAAGCTGAATTAACAACAAAAATGAGAGAACCTAGTTGAAGACACCCATTTTCTCCTATCATCCTATCAGGATTTTTTACTTGATATCTAAAATGTGTATCAGAATGCTGGTCTTTTTTACAGAGAGAGGTTACAACAGTTATCCAAACCAAAAGAACCAAAAGTAGAATGGTGGACAAATGTCGGGTAAGTCTTGTGTACAAATATATCACTAACTTTTAATATGTTGATGATAGAAAACATTTTTTATTCTTTAAGGATCTTAAAAAGATCATCAATTGTTACTGAAATGTATGGTTTGCATACCATTACAAACACAGTTGAAACACAAAATAATCCAGTAATTGAGTGATACTTATTTTGTTTTTAAAATATGACTAATTCAACAGACTAAGAGAAAGTGAAAAAATATCAACAGATTAAGCACATACTGTTTGTCAACTTGTCTCTAAAATAAATTAAACAGCTTTTAATAACCTTGTTAATTGAGATATACCCAATCTAGGTATTCTTTCTTACCAAAATGATATTTCATTATTAATGAATGAAAAAGAAATAAGACACCTGAATAAATTTCACTGACCTATAATGTCCATCTTTGACAAAAGCAACAGCTACCGTAGATTTCTATCTCATCAGGATGTGTTTATTAGGGCCAAGTTTCATCGAGATAGAAAAGCAAATGGGCCATGATTATCACTGTGTTCTATACATGTATAATGAAATATGGTAAGGAATAAGATCAGAAGAGTTTGAACAAAGCAATTACAAAGAGAGTAATTCTTAGGAGGTGACCAGGACACACATTGTGGTTAAACTTAACAGAAGCATGTACACCTAATAGACAATAGAATTAGATTAAGAAGTTTTTAGTATAAAGAGGGTGGGGGGTAGGGGGAAGGAATATACACAAGGTAAGGAAGAGAAGAAATGAGGAGAGAGAAATGGCATGATTAAGATCTAGTGATTTAGTTCAAATCTCAGGAAATCAATGCAGAATAAAATGGAACTGAAAACTACAGTGTTATAATTCTTAACTTATGTTCCCCCATACGTCCATGGAAAAGACAGACAGGAAGGAAGCTATGGGGTGATACTTGTGTGTTCTATTATTTCCATATACCCTCAATACCTTTATACATAATAAAAACTATCTTGTTAATATGAATAGCTACTCATTAATTTTTTATATCAGATGAAGGTGATGGAGAATAAAGATCATTTGAATTAGACCTTTTGTGATTAGAAATGTTCCAAGGTAGTTAAGCCCAAGATTTCATTAACTAAGTGAAGAACAGTCACCATACTGATATGGCTGATAGGGTTTCAGTAGTTACAATTGATTGTTTGTGGAGATAATCAGGAGATTGAATTGCCAGAGAATCACATGCTTGAACAGGTGACAGACATGTTGAAGGCCAGCACTGATAGCGATTCTATTGAGTGCTCATGTTCAGTGCTAATGATTTGCCAGTTGGACACTTTCCAATATGGCTGTTCTCCATTGATATCCGGAGAGACAGCTATCACAATGTACTCTATAAGTAATTTAAATGACCCCCTCCCCTGTACTGTAAAAGAGAGACTGTTGCATTTAATTGCAAGATATCTACAATGAAATAATGCTTATATTTTCTAAAAGTAAAATTTCAATCAAAAATGATCTCAAAGTGAGGTTTAAGAGTTAGCGACAGACTTTTACATTTTAGCATGTTTGAGGACAATATCCTTACTTCTCTTCTTAAAAATGAAAAATGAAATAAAAAGTTGCCATAGAAAACAGTTTAAACCAATGCATAATGTAAAGATTAATTATATATGGCGAATCATGATGGTTATAAAAACAAAATGTCCAATTTGTAAAAACACCAAATGGCCTTAAATATTGATATTTGGTCATTACAAGTTTAAAGGAATAATACCAACAATGTTTGCGAAAAGAAATGCCCTTGACCTATAGCGAAGGTCAAAGGGGTCAAATATGTAGAAACATTCAAATAATTTCTTATGATTAACTGTAAAGATCCATAATCATTTACTTTATATAATTTATTTCTTGAGTGATCAAATTTGTAAAGGCTAAAAAACCTTGACTTTCAGTAAGGCATAAAGGGTCAAATTTAAAAAAAATCGATATCTTTTTAACAACTGGACATAATACTACAAAATGTGTTAAAAAAATAAATGACCTTGATCCATTATACATTAAGTCCAATTGAGCCTCTTGTTATGTGGAATTTTCCATGGATGACTGTGACAGTCTTGAGTTAATGTATGGTCTGCTTTGTTTTCAGACCAAATGTTATGTGGGGGACCCAGGAGATGTTATGGCCCATCAGCCAGGAGGCAAAAGAGGCCACTCCAACAGATCGGGTAGTTAACCTTGCAACTCCAAAGAAAAACTTTCAAACAGGAATGCATGCTGGGAGGTAAATCAAATTTTTACTCAATTTTTTAAGACAGCTTTCCATAAAGCCATTTAGATTTTTATCTTTTTATAAAATTTTAGGTAAGTAGTAGAATAAAACATTTTGATTTGATTTCAATTTATTACATAAAGTGTTTTGACCTTGACAATCGGAAATATTCACACCGGAGTATTGTCATAGTTTCGTTTGTATAAAGTTTGCTTAAGAAATGAAGTTATATGAGATATGTCACTTCGTTGTTTAATTTTCTATAAATACTAACAATGACTATCACCTTTAACTTAAAACCACAAACTCCTCAGGTATATTACAATACATGTACAAAACCTTTGCAAACATTTTATTAAAACTTCCCTTTAGAAGTTGATAGAACAAATGTCAATGAATGGGTACCTTGATACCTTTCTACAATCAGTAAAAGTGACCTTGACATTGAACCAACACAAACTCCTCTAAATTGATGTTAGTGTGATGACATACATAACACTGAACCCTCTATTAAACGTGGATGGCAAGAAAAGACATTATGGGGTAAAATCATTCCAAGCAAGCTGATAAAGTTTAACGGACAGCACTGATTATTCAATGAGGTGTGAAGTACAGGTATTCACAATACATATCCATATTAGATATTACTAATACCTATGATTATAAACCTGATGGTTTTCACTAGATTTACCTAAAGGCAACAAGTGTGAATTTTGTAATACAATGTCTATAATGTACCATACAAAAAAAATTCACATACTTAACAACGATTATCTTATTTCAATTTCAATTAAGTCAAAATCAGATTATTGTTATATTATGTTCATATGGTTAGGCTAACTCTACTCGCCCCAGAACAGGTTAATCCTGATCTTCAAGGGTCAGGTGGTGAAACTCTATTGTTAGCTTAACCAGTTGTCAATTTTAGTTTCAAAATTAAATATATACATAAAATTCTGAAGACATTAAAACAATATCATAATAAATTGATTGATTTTAATACACGAGTTCATTGATCTGATTAAAACTATCTGTCACATTTGGAAATATTGATAAAGAAAAAAAATGTATCTGTTAATATGGCTTTGAATCTTTTAGCCCAGTATTTAAGTCCAGTGTGTTAGGGTAGTTGTGACGTTTGGCGGTATATTATAACGTAGTACCACTTCCTTCACAACCAGACCTGTCTTCCTGTTACATTTTCCAAGTTGTAGACGATATGATCAGGATCTGTACTTTCTGTATTAAAAAGGACTCTCTATCTGAATTTTAACTACAAAAAAAAGGTGCAACATTTTCATCAGAGTGGAACATCAAGTGTTCAGGACATTCACAGGATAAATAACCTACAGACGGATTTGAATTATTTCTTTGAAACATGTTAGCTAATCCAAATACATTTGGATAGAAAGAAAAACATGTATATCTAGTAAAAACATGTCTGAACATTTTTTGACATTGATAGAAATGAAAAATATTATGCATTAGGACTGTTAAGTGTTAAAAAGTACAATTCAAATTTTGGAATTTCTATAGAACTGCATTCTAACAAACAAAAGATTGCAATGAAGAAGGAAGTGAAAATAACAGTTATTGATGAAAAGGGGGAGAGGAACAGCCCTATCATGGCTAGGACTCCTACTCCCCCCAAATCACCCCTAATGCCCCCTCTATCAAATCGTGTGATGACAAGTCAATCCTTTATTGATGCAAACGATGACTTGTTGGTGAAGGACTATAGTGTATACAATAAATATGATCAATATGAAAACATACGCAAAAACAGGGCACACACAGGAATCCAAAGTATGTATATTGGCAGTGATAAGAAATGGACATTTCTTACACCAAGAACAGAAGAAAATGAAAATTTAAGGTATGTATACCATCAGTTGGATAGTTTTGTGATGTGAAGTCTGTCTATCTATATGTCCATTCATATTGCATCCTGTTACTTGGGAGTTAAACAAGTGCTATATGATTTACAATAATAAACTTCGATGTTTTTTTTTTTATCCTTTCCGACTTTATATATGAAAGAGCTTGGATCATCATTTTGATATTTTTGCTCCAGTGCTTAATAATGCATTCACTGTAAAATGTTTAGAGGTTACATGTCAGGTCAAGGTCACCAACAGCTGATTTAGAAAATTACACCAACAACACAAAAGGAAACACCTTTCAATACAAATGAACAACTGGCCAAATAAATGTGTTTAAGTACATCATACAAATCAAGGAAGTGACTGTTAATGATGGGAGATATCCCTATAATGCAATAAATTTTCAATATAAGGGGACTTCACAAGTCATCAAGTAGATTCATAATTCAAGTATGGCATGAAGATATATCTACTGATGTCAGAAAATAACTGGTACAATTTTTCAACCTTTTGAAAATTTCAGACAAACAAGACCTTACTTACATTACGAATGTCCAACATCAAGGTCAATGATATGTTAAAATTTCTAGAAAAATCCTCAACATTATTGCTTATCTATCCTAACAGTGACAGAGTGCTTCACCAGTATTATTACTTTACACTGTATAAACGTTTTCAAAACTTCAAAATCAATTTCAAGATATGTTGTATTTATTTCAAGGTTATTCCTCTATCAGATAGGGTTACTAAATGTTTTGTCTTTTAAGCTATGAAATTGTGATGATCCCACTGTTTTAGATGCAACAAATTTCAATTCAAAAACTTCCTATTGTACCATATATATGACGTAATTTGGTCTTAAGGACATTCAGGCCTTTAACAAATTTTTATATGCCTATTTAATGTTGACCTTGAATGAAGGTCATTGTTCTGTAGATAGGTGTTCACCATTTTCAGTTTGCTACACACTGGATCATCCAGTCTACTTCCAGGATTTATTATCACCAATCAAATGTCAGAATGAAATAGGATGGAGTTTTTATGAGGGTTTTTTGTCTTTTATTTCCATTATTAATGAATTGATTTTTTGTATTCTTTGTATGTATTGTGTGTTGTATTGATCAACTGAACCCTCATAGCCTATGTTGGTGAAATTCGGAAAAATAATTAAATTGAACAGATAAATTATAGTAAATCATGTACAACTTACAGTAATTCAGCTCACTGTAATGTTTAAAATCTAAAAACCTTAAATAAACAAACCATAAAAATCATCATTTTTAAAATGTATTTTACTATGGTTGACTTGTATTTAATTTAGATAATGTCAATATACCCAGGTATATGTAAAATTTATAAGATAAGACCTCACATACCTGCATGTTAAAATAAACACATTTAACAAGCCCTGGCATGAAATTCTTAAGATTTCACCATTATATACATAAATAGAATTAGCTGAATATTATTACCATAACAGTGTGTTAGGTACTTTGCAGGAGGCAATATATGTTAACTCCAATCTGTCTTTTTTAAATTCTGAATATATTTCATTAAAAGTTAAACCATTTGTATTCAGTGAATCAACCTCTCTTGTCACTACAGATGCTAAAAATGACAATTTTTCATTAGCTAATTTGACATCTTCCAACAATTATACTGTGGTGCGATACAATATACACTTGCCCACTGCAAAGAGAAATTTGTTATTGTATTGAAAATTTACAAATATTTAAATGAAACAATAACTATCATCAAAATGCCACTGCACCAAGAAAAGCACAATTTTGTGTCATCAAAATTGTGGTAGATCTTAAGGCAAATAAGAATTCATAATGGACAAGCAATGCTGTACCCAAAATCCATAATACATTATGTAAAGTCAATATTTCTGAAAGGCACGCTGAAAAAAAGAAGGGAACTAACTCTTATTTCTAAATATAATACCTCTGTCATGATAATATGCCAACTCTACTCACTTTACAATTGCCCAGGTTCAAAACCTGCCTCCCATGGAAGAGAGTGATAGGGGTTGGCAGTAGAAAAGATATCTTAATCATTCAAATTGCTGCTGTTCTTGATACCAAAGTGAATGAGTACATTGTTAAAATTGATTTATCATGACGTATTGGACACTCTAGAGTCTCAAGATAAAGTAAAAACAGGAGACATGCTTTAAAAGGAGATGGCCAAAACACTTCAGAAAATAAATAAATAAATGTGTTATGTTTCAGGCCGCTATTTTACTACAGTTGTGGTCGCCCATCTATGATATGGGAGAATAAGTCCAATGTGAAGGAAGCTAGCGAGCGAGTTATTGACCTGTCAGCTCCTAAACAGCCCAGTAAGGAGTACACAAACCAGGAAGTGAGGTAAGAGCTACACATTAACATATAGGTCATATATTAATCAAATCCCATGGCAGAGGTCATGGCTCTATAGGGTTCACACAGCAAGAAAGGTCAATAGGTCAGTAACAGCATGATTTCATAGAACCTAAAAGTCAAGGGGTTATATCAACAGAAATTTTATAGAGCAAGATAGGTAACAATATGGTTCATGAAAGCAGGATTTCATAGAGTATAAAAGGAGTCAATGACATAGTCATTTTAAAGATTTTAATTAACTCAGATTTTTGTTCTGATTATTCTTTCCAACATCAACAAAATAAAAAAATTCAACTGTTAACAAATAGTAACCATCAGAGAGTATTCGTTGAGTTAGTACAACCAAAGAAGTCAGACAAGTTAATGATTAGACAGGAGGGCTGCTTACAAATAAGCCTTGTCCCTACTTTTTTCTTCAAAAGAGTGGATGTTTTATGCAAGTAGTAAAAGCAGGTTGTCAGTTTGGATTTCTGAGATTCAATCTGGATCAATTTGGAAACATATAATATAGATTGTCTTGGGTTTGTTCATAAAAAAATTATGAGATAATGATGAAGGTTGTTTAAATAAAGTCTACAACATATTATAAAGAATTATTTGATTTCGAGCAAAACCCATGTTTAACAGTATCTAACACAGGGACTTGGTACAAATTCCTAGTCCTAAGATCAGTGTATACGTGTATATGTATTATATCCATCAGTGTATTTTTGAATTTGTGCCAAGTGCCTGTGGTATCATAGATTTAGAGTATTCTTGTTCATCATGAGGACTTTTCTGGATAAATCATACCTAATTTCAAGTATCTGTATGAATGGCTATTTTTCAATATGACACAGCAGAGGACACCCTGGTATAATGATTAGCAATTGCTGTTTTCTTCAACTTAATCAACAGATGTCTGGTAGTGGTGTATGACTAATTAACTTTGTTTGGGAAACCACTGTTTCTGTATCCAGTTTCATTTCATAAGATGGGGTGTATAGTGTTTTTGAAATCATGAATGTATTTATTGTCACAGGGAGCCTTTCACTGAACAAGACATGAAAAGAATGTTTCCTAATGGAAAAAGGTGGTGTACTGTCATTTATACTAATATATATTATGGTCAAACTAACACAGTAACATTACATTTTATACAATTACAGTCTTTTGATGAGGTCTTTGTATGGTTTTATTAACCTTAAAAAAATGTATACTACCAAAGGTTGAGGTGCCCTAATAAGCTTTTCCCCTTTTCATATATCATTTTCTGAATGAATCATTCATGAAGGACATAGCATGATTTTAAAAAAAGAGTAGACAAAATACTGAAATACATATGTGAACACCAATTTTTTTGGTTAAAAGTGAAAATAAAAATGTGGCAATGTTTTGCATTGAAATCATCTTTTGTCTAATGGATCAATCATTGGTTAAAAGGAAGAGAAAAAATATTATTAAACATCTTTTGTTTCATGAGACCAATGTTTGATTTGACTTTTATTATACCCCTTATCCAAATAACTCTCTATACTTAATATCTTGTCCTGAAGATTATTTTTACTAACTTATACTTGAGGTTATTAATGGACCTTTATATTGAATATGAACATAGCAAGAAGTATCATGTTCTTAAAGTTAAAAGAAATGTATCCTAAAGAACGAAAGTAAATACAAATCATTTTGGAACTAACAATTTCTTTTGGGGCTTTAACAATCACAATTAAAAGCTACAATGATTTTTTAGAGAGAGTGTGGAAGTAAACTTAATTTACATGTGTACTTTTTTTCAAAAGGTGTTATTAGTTTAACATTTAGAACATGTGTTTAATGTATGTTGTTTCTGTGTTGTTTGTTTTGATACTCCAGTTACTGTGTGATGTCCTCATAGCAAGAGACATCCTACAATTAAATCAAATTACCAGTATATTGAACATTCTTTAAGGTTTTTCCAGTACAACATCCATTTGACCAAAGTCCCAAAAATAAATCATTTCTGTCCATGTTTAAGTTCCTTGTCTGTAACTTCTAAGCAATATTTTTTATTAGCTCTAAGGGTGGTACTCACAAAACCTTGAAAACTTGGGTGGGATTTATGTCTTACTGAAGTAAAATTTATCTTGACACAGAAAAGAAACACTGTTACTATATTAGATATTACAAAACATCAGAATGACCTCTGAATTTTCATAATATAAGGTTATTACACCTTCTTCTCATTCCAATTTTAAGACTTTATATGAACCATTTGTCAATTTCTATGTCTAAACCTTGACAGAATTACCTCCCTTGTTGGTTATACAACAAATGTGGCATAATTCTGTGGTCAAATCTTATACATGAAAATAAACAGAATATTTACAATGGTAAGAGAGATACATGCCTTCTTTATGTCACTGCCATTTTACCTTTTCATGACAAAAAAAAATGAATATAGAGGAGGACCTACTTTTATTTCAAAAGTTGGTGATATTGAATGAATTCTAGAAAGAAAAAAGAAATACTTCCCATTACATGGCACTTCACACAAACCTTTTCTCTTGAATTCTCATAAGTTTAACAAATGGCTGAAATACAATTCTGTCTGTGACATGTCAAATTTTTTGTGCTGTTTTTAGAAACAGATAATGATCTCATTATATCAATAAAACCCATGATTTATTTAAATGTGATTGTTTTGTTGCAGACCGCAGTACCTGTTCAGCTGTGGGAGGTCAAGCCCTATATGGACAGTTCAAAAGGGGGCACTGTCTGCAGGTGACCGCCCACGCACTCTGTCGCTAGCGTACCCCCGTCCACCACATCGGGAATTCCAGCCCAGTCGTCAAGTGGAGACAATTATACCAGGAGGTGCTCTTAGTGCCTCAGCTTCAGAACGGATACACAGCCTAGCAATACCCAAAGAGAGGCCAAATGGGCCATTTAGATCACCACAATGGCCCGTGAGTTAAGATTTTTATATAGAAGTATATAGAATTTCACTGAAAATCTATACAAAAAAACAAATATGGAAAGGCTGTGTTTGGGGTGGCCCATAGTGATCAAAAGTTCATTTTCCTGACTTGAAACAGCTCCCAAATTTGGCCTACATCAAACAAATATTGATTATAATTATCCAACAATGAGACCATGTAGGGCCAAATTCACCATATTCAATGTAAATAGGGAAGTTGAAACAATGGTAAAGCATTCATTGGCATTTCTGATGAATTGACAATATCATCATGAGAAATACTGTGAAAATGAATATCAATTTAATATTCACCTCTTTCCACAATAACTATTGTACAATTTTCCGATGCTATTTTATTTATTTTCAAAATTCAACACAAGGGTAATAAGTAAGTCCGGAAACATGATTTTAGTTTTTCTTTTCATTCATTTCATATCATTGTTTTCTTAGGTGTCACCTGGAGCCAGAAATGCCATTTCCTCGACTCGATGTGCTGACCTTGCTCGTCCCAAGGCAACAGTCGAAGGGTACCAGCTGCCACGGGATGAGATGTGGTCTGTTACACGTGCGGCAAAACGTGGCAGTGCATCAGGCAGGATTCAGGAACTATGTAAACCACTTGTGAGAGCTTCAATGGATCATGTGCAATTTAATCCAGATGCTTTCTTGGTTAAAGAATCGGCTTTAAAGGGAGTGGTACCTAAACGTGTGGAGGAACTATCTCAACCAATTCTGCGCTAGCAGATCAGTTCAAACTGGAATTCTTGCCACTGTGATACAAATTACTTATTTACAGAAACTTTTGGTGAAAGTTAAACTTATTCTTATGGGGTTTTTTGGCCTTTGGAGAATCTCTTAAAGGGAAATAACTCTTAATGATTACCCGTGTTAGCACAACTTGATGAGAGCAGTATTATTTATCATTATGTGACATGTCACTTAATCAGTATTATTGTTAAAGTTATATGTACCATGTGATTAGTTCTATGTTTGTTTTGATAACAATAACTACATGCATTCCCATGAAATGGATTTGCACTGAAAATTGGAATGTAAAAATTGGTAATAAAATCTCTGTTAACGAAGATCTGGAATAGATTGCTTGTTTCTAAAGGATCAAGGTCTGAGGAAAGGAAAAGGAAAGTGATTTTGAGTTGATCAAAATAATTTCTCAGTAATGTTTGATTATGTCCAGTACAGATAAATAACATACAATGTGTCCTGTTCAATCATTGCCAGTTAGAATTAATATAACGTTTCCTGACAAGTAATTTAAAACTTTTCCATATTTTAAATTTTCTATAAGAACTTATCCTTTTAAAAAAATGGATATATTTTGACTTTTACGAGGTCAGACTTTAAAACTTTGATAAACTTTACACAGCAAAGCAAACAAACAACCAAATCATACATTTACAGATAAATTGCACACTTACCTAGTATTGCTGAATTAAATTTTTTTATAACAATATGTTTTTAAAATGAATATTGGATGATAAGAGCAGTAATCAACAAACTACAAGTCTTGGGACAAATGATGCATACTTTTCTAAACTGTCCCATTAAATTTGGAAATGCAATCTATAGGGAATATTTGCTCGTTTTCTAATGAAAAATGTCCTGAGAGTTTAAGATACAGACAAATCACAGAATGCATATTAATATTAGTGTCAAATCTTTTACATTTCAACATACATATATTTAAATCATTCCAAACACCAGAAAGTCTGTTACTCTAAATTAACCTAATATTTCCTGTAGAATGACCAGATACACTTACTGGTATTTTACCCTGTAGGATAACCAGACAATATTACCTTATTCATCCTGTGAGATAACCAGACACCGTTACCTTATTTATCCTGTGAGATAACCAGACACTGTTACCTTATTTATCCTGTGAGATAACCAGACACCGTTACCTTATTTATCCTGTGAGATAACCAGACACTGTTACCTTATTTATCCTGTGAGATAACCAGACACCGTTACCTTATTTATCCTGTGAGATAACCAGACACTGTTACCTTATTTATCCTGTGAGATAACCAGACAATATTACCTTATTCATCCTGTGAGATAACCAGACACCGTTACCTTATTTATCCTGTGAGATAACCAGACACTGTTACCTTATTTATCCTGTGAGATAACCAGACAATATTACCTTATTCATCCTGTGAGATAACCAGACACTGTTACCTTATTTATCCTGTGAGATAACCAGACACCGTTACCTTATTTATCCTGTGAGATAACCAGACACCGTTACCTTATTTATCCTGTGAGATAACCAGACACCGTTACCTTATTCATCCTGTGAGATAACCAGACACTGTTACCTTATTTATCCTGTGAGATAACCAGACACTGTTACCTTATTTATCCTGTGAGATAACCAGACTCCATTACCTTATTTATCCTTTGAGATAACCAGACACTGTTACCTTATTTATCCTTTGAGATAGCCAGACACTATTACCTTATTTATCTTTTGAGATAACCAGACACTGTTACCTTATTTATCCTGTGAGATAACCAGACTCCATTACCTTATTCATCAGGTGGGACAACCAAACACGATCACCTTCTTTATCCTGTGAGATAACCAGACACTATTACCTTATTTATCCTGTGAGATAACCAGACACTGTTACCTTATTTATCCTGTGAGATAACCAGACACTATTACCTTATTTATCCTGTGAGATAACCAGACACCATTACCTTATTTATCCTGTGAGATAGCCAGACAATATTACCTTATTTATCCTATAAAATGACCAGATGGTCAACACATCAATTCTTATTCAGTGACAGGACTTATTACAGGACAATGAAATACATTAGTATATTGTTTATTGTGCACATATATAAGTGGGCTTATAACCAGGTGTGGGCTTATAACCAGGTGTGGGCTTAATAACAGATAAATAAAGAATATACAAATCTTGTTTAGTTATTGATGGGTCTACGAGATATGTAAAACTATTTGAATATTTGAGAGTATTTATTGACATTTATTCCGGTCAGATCTAATTGTTATGCAGATAATTGTAGTTTCGAACAGTAGGCCCATTTTGCTGACTTACTAGCAATTCTATTCATATACAATACGACACTTTCCCTCTGAATATTGTGGTATTTTATTATATATCTGTTAAAAGTGTGCATTCGTAGACATTGTACACCAACAAATGTATTTAAATTCTGGATTTTTCTCACATAGATTTCAATAACAATCTATTTGTAACGATTTCAGAGATACGCCAAGTGATTCTTATTATTATGAGGACTTTTGCTGTGAAAACAAGAAACTGTTTGTGTGTTCTGTTTAAATCATTATGACAACCATACTATATTTTGGTTAGGTTTTGTTGTATGCGTCTTGTTTTTTCGTTTTATTTTTTAAAATACCATTGTTATCAGGAGTGAGACAAATGCAGCAAATAACCTTCTACACGTGTGTAATGTGAATTAAAATGTCAATAAAAACAAAAACTGCTTTCCGTTATCATTGAAAATAAATTGTTTCATTAGTATGCAAATATGGTTTTTTGATACATCATTTCTGAGTCACATAAGAGAAACAAAAAGTTAAGATTTTTGAGGTTTCACACAAAGCTTTGCAGGTTTCATCTGATATGAATAAGATTCATTTTAACTTCAAAGTAATGGTTTTGTCATTTCACACATAACTTTGCAGGCATTTTCTAATACAATATTCATCACTTCTCTAATTTCTTGGCCCCCAGTTTCAGGAGTCTTCCTTAACTTAAGGAAATTTTAACTCACAGAACAGCATTATATAAATTCGGACAAAACTTAAATTTCAGGAAGTTCCTTTAACTATGTAATGTTTTATAAGATTCATGAAACTGGGGTCCGGTGACTTGAGAAAGCTGTTTCTCAAATAAAGATTTTTGAGATATCCCAAAGGGTGTAGTCAAATTCATAACTTTGAAATTGGTATACCAATATTTGAAAATACATTTCGTATTTTAGTAAACAATTGCAAGGTATATTGACTTCTGTGACTGTCATATTGAAAATGACATATACAAAACAGTTCTATTGTTAATAGGTCTCAATGTCAGCATCACCTCTCCAAAAAATCTTTTTGTGTTTTGTTCCACCTTCTTGTGGAAAACTGTTGATCATTTTTATGGGTATAACCAAATTATATGTAATTGGCTGGGTTTATCATCACATAATGTATGTAACAGCTTTGGTTATCTTGAGGCATAGTCTCCTTGTAGTAGCTGGTGGCTACGTCAATAGTATACCGGAAACCTGCCACATGTTATATGTAGCAATAGGGTAAGTGTCTTACCCAAGCACATAGCCTAGTAAGCACAGACTTGTCTGTTTCTAAGCTGCCTAAGGTACACAAACCACCATAGGTAGACAGCACTGAGCCATGAATCTCTGATTTTCACCTGAGGTTGCATAGGCCAACACTCACCACCAGTTCTATACCCAATAGAATTTCTTATTTGACATCTGTTGCTATAATGAACATGAAGAGTATATTTCACAGCATCAAGGACATATATTATCAAAATATTTTTCTCAATCAAAATCAGTAATCATTTTCAGTAAGCATAAGTAATTGATTCCCTTTTTGAAGCACACAAATGACCTATATGACAGAAACCACATCTCATCAAATTCATCATGCTGAATACAGCAAATCTGTTAATCAATCTTTGATACTTTCATAAACATTTGAAGTTTTATGAGAAGTTTTCCAAGTATTATGAGAAGTCAGAACATTTTGAGTAGAGTAAACAAAACTTCTTTTAAACTGCAAAAAAACCTGCTACATCAGAATGGACCAGTTTCTTTATTCTCTGTTAATTCCTTCCTATAGAAAACTGAAATTAGAATATTTTCTTAAGTCAAAAACTGTTAGTGAAACTGGGAACCCATATTAATAAGAATCCCCATTTGAAAACAAATACTGGAAACAAAACTTTTATTGATAGTAAATGGTCATTCTGGCTTGTCAGTGGGAGAGAGGTGATGCTGACCTTGTGATCTCCTTTTCACTATCAATTCCATCACAAAAGATCTGTAAAATTTGGAAACAATATTCTTTATTTCTTTTATACAATAGATTATTCTTATCATAAAACAAGAACTATTTGTATAATATCTTGACTAATCATCAACAACTGAAAAGTCCTATGCTGAATTTTGCTTTGAAAGTACTCCATGTGACTTGTCAAGTTTAATAAGTACTAATTGTAATGATAATTATTTGATGATATCTTAAAGGAAAATTGTATAATAATCATACATGACAAAAACAAAAATAATCCCTTTCAATGTCCCATTTTTTTCATCGTAATATTTTATCCCAGGAAGGGAAATCTTTTTGAAAGAAATATTTTATGCATAAGAGTGGTTTCTTAAAAAAATCATTAAAGTAACTGATCTTTCATCAAGCAACCTGACCAGTAAGGTTTGTTTCAAGTTGAATCTTGGATAAATTGATGAACTCAATGAGGCTGATGATGTGTAATGCAAGGATGAACATTTACTAAGATGTTATATATGAAATGGATTGATATTATTTCAGAGATAAGGATGAAATAAATAAATAACAATTTTCTACTCAAATAGCATCTTCAGGTCACTTTTTGAATTGTGGTCATGAGATGAAAATCATCCTCCAATTTAAGTTTTTCACCTCCCTAGCTCAAACCAACAGTAACCAGACTCTCCATCCACAATCACCAGCTGTCAATGAAGCCCAGTCACTTTCTCCGACACCAATCTTTCATTTATTTTGAAGTAAATAACTGACTGTATCTATGATGTGATCTCTTATCTTGTCCAACAAACAGTTCAAACAGCAAATCAGAAAGGTCGATGCCTGCAAGTAGTGATCTCATCCAACACAGCCTTTGTGTTATACAAGCAATAATTTTTTTGGGTAGATGATGCTGATAGTTTGACCTTGACCTCTGTCATGAGGACGTACCTTTCACTCCCTTGCTCTTTAGATACTCGCCATACTGTTCTGGGATACTTTTGAACGCTTTGATCTTACTCTTTATTTGTTTGGGTGTGTCCTGGTAATAATTCCTCATGTCTCGCGCCATTGCCTGTTGAATATGTAAATTCATTTCATTAGTAATGTTTACTTTCATACAATTTCTGTGACAGTCCAAACCCCATGGGTTGACAATTATCATATAAGATACATTCCTCTTATCCTCAATCGTCAACAAAATATTCTTTGACTCCCCAGTGGTCGTTGCTCTTATATCGATGACAGGTTTTCAAAATACCCATCTACATGCAGGATCAACAAATTGAAAGAACTCTTTTAACTTGTAAAAATCCCTGCTGTAAGTTATATCTAAATAAATTTAAAAATATAATATATATAAGTTTATCTCATACATCTCCTTCATATGTTATTGTCCAATTTGATAATAACTTGTCTTTAACTAATATATATCTAGCATCTTGCACACAAGTTTCAATATTCTAAAGATTCATTTTATAAATAAGATTTTCCAGGTAAATATTGTAGAAAACAGACATTTCTACACCAAACCTGAAGTCATGTCTACTCTATATCTATGGTCATCAATGTTACTTCACTATGACATCTGTTAGTGTGTGATTCCATTTTATTACATATGTAAGGTGAACATCACAATAAGCTTAATTACACATGTGTAATCTGCAAAAATATGACATGAGTATATTCACTAAATAACAAGGTAATCATGAAAATTATATAAAATTGAGAACTTGGTGACCCTGATATCGTTCTAAAGGTCATGTGATGGATAATACATACAGTACGTGAAATTACAATTCTTTCTAATTTGTTATTTTGAGGCATCGTAATATCAAACCTTGACTTAAATTTGTATTTGTGTTCCTCACCTTATAATCTTCTCCATATTTCTCCATCATATAGATACAATATCGCGTTTCTGGCTCTGATAGTCTCAGCCGTCTCCTCTGGGGAATATTGGCTTCTGCCTCTAACTCTGTCAACAGTATTTAAATTCAATTAACAAAGGTGCTAAAGTTTCTTTTATCACAGTTGTACAAATGGGCCTTACTTATTAAATTTCCCAAATCATCTGGTGATTTATAATGATAAATACTTGGAATATTTGGTCCATAATACAACCCTCCCTAAGATAAGAAATTATCTAAAATGTTCTAAACAAGCCAAAGGAATCACAAAAAATTGTATTCTACACTTCAGGTCACTTCAGTTAAGTAGAGCTCTTGAGTTAGAATGTGACACAAAATTTGGAAGTAGCTTGGTGACACCTATTAGTTCCTCTACCCTATGGGTTTATGAATGATAAGAAAGTGTTATTGATGCTAAAGTGTTGACAATGCAATATCTATTCTAATACAGCTTTTCATACTGTAAAACTCTTTACCTAAAGCTACATATTGCTTGACAGCTGGTGCAGCTTCCTCCTTCATTTCTGTTTTTTTAGATGAGCCAGGAATGCTCGTAACTAGGGAATCCTGAAACAAATTCATTCAAGGGAGATAATCATTAAAAATTATATCAAACTGCCTTCTGAAATGTGATTAAAAAGACTAGAGATAGGCTAATGATAACATACTATTTATTAGAAAACAGGAAATGTTATTAGAAAATAGGATGTTAGATTGGTGATCAAAACATTGCTTGTTCGACTGCCGACAAGGAAACCTTATTGTATCTTTGGGCAAAATGTATATGTACTTTACTGGCTTGTTACACATGACTCAGCTGCAGAATGACAATGTTAGGCAGTGCTGGATATAATATGTAATGGCAACTCTAGCTGTATCCTCCTCAGGCAGTCATGACTGATAACCATGGTTATGGCAAGTAATAATAACCATGGATCATTTGTGAACTGCTTTGTAATCCTATATTGCTCTTCTGGATATTATTGCTTTCACTTAAAACTGTCTTATTTAAAATTATATTCATACATTTTCCCCAAAAGATAAGGAATTCTGCAGCTTCAATCTAAATTTCAACAAAACACATACATCTAAGCAAAAAAAACCAGAGGCCCATGGGCCTTAACGGTCATCTGACAAAAAGCAAGCCAAACCTAGAAAGTGGGTTGAGGTCATTCATTTGAACAAACTTGATAGCCTCTCCTCCAAGCATCTTACAGGCCCAATATCAGCACTCATGGACTTTTGCTTGTTGAGAAGAAGTCGTTTGTATATTTTAACATATTTGACCCCTGTGACCTTGAAAGTGGGTTGAGGTCATTCATTTGAATAAACTTGGTAGCCTTTCCTCCCTGCATGCTACAGACCCAATATCGGCACTCATAGACTTTTGCTTATTGAGATGAAGTCCTTTGTATATTTTAACATATTTGACCCCTGTGACCTTGAAAGTGGGCCAAGGTCATTCATTTGAACAAACTTTGTAGGGCTCCATGCCAGCATGCTATGGGCCAAGTATTAGCCCCCTAGGCCTTCTAGTATTTGAGAAGAAGTTATTTAAAGATTTTGACATATTTGACCCCTGCGACCTTGAAAGTTGTTCAAGGTCATTCATTTAAATAAACTTGGTAGCCTTTCCTCCCAGCATGCTACAGACCCAATATCGGCACTCATAGACTTTTGCTTATTGAGATGAAGTCCTTTGTATATTTTAACATATTTGACCCCTGTGACCTTGAAAGTGGGCCAAGGTCATTCATTTGAACAAACTTTGTAGGGCTCCATGCCAGCATGCTGATAACCTATGGGCCAGGTATTAGCCCCCTAGGCCTTCTAGTATTTGAGAAGAAGTTATTTAAAGATTTTGACATATTTGACCCCTGTGACCTTGAAAGTTGTTCAAGGTCATTCATTTAAACAAACTTGATAGCCCTTCATCCCAGCATGCCACAGGCACAATATCAGCAATCTGAGCCTTTTGGTTATTGAGAAGAAGTTGTTTAAAGATTTTAACATATTTGACCCCTGTGACCTTGAAAGTGGGTTGAGGTCATTCATTTGAATAAACTTGGTAGCCTTTCCTCCCTGCATGCTACAGACCCAATATCGGCACTCATAGACTTTTGCTTATTGAGATGAAGTCCTTTGTATATTTTAACATATTTGACCCCTGTGACCTTGAAAGTGGGCCAAGGTCATTCATTTGAACAAACTTTGTAGGGCTCCATGCCAGCATGCTATGGGCCAAGTATTAGCCCCCTAGGCCTTCTAGTATTTGAGAAGAAGTTATTTAAAGATTTTGACATATTTGACCCCTGCGACCTTGAAAGTTGTTCAAGGTCATTCATTTAAATAAACTTGGTAGCCTTTCCTCCCAGCATGCTACAGACCCAATATCGGCACTCATAGACTTTTGCTTATTGAGATGAAGTCCTTTGTATATTTTAACATATTTGACCCCTGTGACCTTGAAAGTGGGCCAAGGTCATTCATTTGAACAAACTTTTTTAGGGCTCCATGCCAGCATGCTATGGGCCAGGTATTAGCCCCCTAGGCCTTCTAGTATTTGAGAAGAAGTTATTTAAAGATTTTGACATATTTGACCCCTGTGACCTTGAAAGTTGTTCAAGGTCATTCATTTAAACAAACTTGATAGCCCTTCATCCCAGCATGCCACAGGCACAATATCAGCAATCTGAGCCTTTTGGTTATTGAGAAGAAGTTGTTTAAAGATTTTAACATATTTGACCCCTGTGACCTTGAAAGTGGGTTGAGGTCATTCATTTGAATAAACTTGGTAGCCTTTCCTCCCTGCATGCTACAGACCCAATATCGGCACTCATAGACTTTTGCTTATTGAGATGAAGTCCTTTGTATATTTTAACATATTTGACCCCTGTGACCTTGAAAGTGGGCCAAGGTCATTCATTTGAACAAACTTTGTAGGGCTCCATGCCAGCATGCTATGGGCCAAGTATTAGCCCCCTAGGCCTTCTAGTATTTGAGAAGAAGTTATTTAAAGATTTTGACATATTTGACCCCTGCGACCTTGAAAGTTGTTCAAGGTCATTCATTTAAATAAACTTGGTAGCCTTTCCTCCCAGCATGCTACAGACCCAATATCGGCACTCATAGACTTTTGCTTATTGAGATGAAGTCCTTTGTATATAATATATGTGACCTTGAAAGTGGGCCAAGGTCATTCATTTGAACAAACTTTGTAGGGCTCCATGCCAGCATGCTATGGGCCAAGTATTAGCCCCCTAGGCCTTCTAGTATTTGAGAAGAAGTTATTTAAAGATTTTGACATATTTGACCCCTGTGACCTTGAAAGTTGTTCAAGGTCATTCATTTAAACAAACTTGATAGCCCTTCATCCCAGCATGCCACAGGCACAATATCAGCAATCTGAGCCTTTTGGTTATTGAGAAGAAGTTGTTTAAAGATTTTAACATATTTGACCCCTGTGACCTTTAAAGTGGGTCAAGGTCATTCATTTGAACAAACTTGGTAGTCCTTCATCCCAGCATGTCACAGGCCCAATATCTACACTCTGAGCCTTTTGGTTAATGAGAAGAAGTTGTTTAAAGATTTTAACATATTTGACCCCTGTGACCTTTAAAGTGGGTCAAGGTCATTCATTTGAACAAACTTGGTAGAGCTCCATGCCAGTATCCTCTGTGCCAAGTATTAGCCCCGTAGACCTTCTAGTATTTGAGAAGAAGTCGTTTGAATGAAAAGTTTACGGACGGCGCACGGCAGACGGCGCACGACGCACGGCGGACGACGACAGACGAAGCATGATGACTATAGGTCATCGGACCCTTCGGGTCAGATGACCTAAAAATGAACTCTATGGGGTATTTGGACCCTTGATTCACAAAAAGAAAAAAATCAATCCTCTTCACCGAAGAGTATTGGAAGAAAGATTTGGTCGAAATACTTTCATTGCAACAGAATAAGATGAGTTAGGGGAAATATATATATATATACGAACAAAAAACTTCTACGTGTATCAACTCTATTGGGCCAAGTGTCCCTGTGTCCTAAGGAGGGTGAGACCCATTTTTTTTTCTTTTTGGATAAAATAAAGTCCTCATTATCAAAGGATGCTTCACCACAGGGGACTGCTACCCACCATTTATACACATAGATCCCAGATAGATCTTTCATGTCCAGTAATGTTCTTTCTTTGATTTTAATAGTTTGTGTTCTTTTCTTTGATTTTGCTCTTTATCATATGAAACATTTAACAATTCCCCGAAGAAATAATGATATTCTTTAAGTGTCAAATCCAAAATGTGGGCCTGTTTGCTACTTTGATTTTCTAATCAGTTGAGCGTAGCTATGTTGTGCTTGTAGAAGTAGACTGACACTGCAGTATGCCTTAAGCTTGCATGGAATACACAGAACATTCTACAAGTTTAGTACAAAAAGAGATAATTTCAATACTTTCAGAAATTTACTATAAATTTATCAAGATATACTTGCCTTAGTTTTAGGTATACTGATGGTCTTATTTGGGTCAGTTGCCAGACCCATTTCCAGCATGTTCTCCTTTACTGACCTTTTTGAGTCCCATGCATTTTTTACTTGTTTACTGTAATGGTAAAATAAATACTAAAGCAAAAATACCATCCGTCCATCAGCTTGAAGTGACTTGTCAATAATAACTCCAAGTGGACACATTTATTAAGCGTAAATATTATAATCATCCTTAATAAACATAGCCTTCCTCTTTGTCCCTCATAAGTTGCTAAGGTAGTAGGGGATTAACTTGGGAAGTATAGGCTACAGACTGATCAGATGTACCACCTCAGTACGCTAGTATAGTACAAGGGAGGTAACCGTGATAATTTTAACTACTTGTGTTAATATATTAAATAGATCGTTCAATACTCAGTTTTACATATATTTAAGTAATTAGTATCCAATTGATAGGGCTTTATGGAATATCCATATAATCCTCAGCCATTTTGCTCTGTCCTAAATACCTTAAAAATGCTACGTAAATTAATTCGCTGGCAGCGCTAATCTGACTGGAAAGGTTAAATTTCACAGCTTTTCAGGAGTACTGACTTCTCAGTTGATTGACATATGCATGCAAGCATCAATTCTAAGTTACTAGTCTTAAGCAGATATTATGAATATCAATGCTGTCTAATCAAAAGAATGGGACGTTCTCTGTGTGAAATACAGCTACTTAGTTAAGTTTATTTCTGGTGCAGGACTGTTTAAATCCTCTATACCAGACTCCATAACAAAAACTTCTTACGTGTGTGACATACAAATACAGCATTTAGAATTAAAGTTACAGGTCTGTTCTCGGTATATTAAATTATGTGGTTATTTCAGCTTTGTAGCAAAGTCTAAGCAGCAAATAGCCTTCAGTTGAGTACAGATGAGATCATGATATGTAGAAATTCAATTCGTGTGGTGTAATCAATTTGTCATTTGGAGCCACATAATACTTACCATTCAATCGTTGGCATCTTTTTTGATTTCAGCCATTCTTTCCTTCTGTTCTTGTCGTAATTGAATTTCCGTTTTCGATGTTGTTTTGTTGGTTTACCCATTATTATTTTGTGTATTTACAATATTGTGACCACGTGCTTTGTTATGGTCGACTTTATATAATTGCAGAGTCATTTTCGTATAATTGGTAATTTCTATATTAAGAGTACATTAGATTCAAAGTATTCCAATGTTGATATTTTTACATGCATTGATAAAGTTATGAGTCTTAAGTGATGCGGATCGCTAAAATGTATGCATCACAGATTTAACGGCTATTTACTGTAAGTACGAAACTACCGCTGAGCTTATATAACATTGTAAACCCCGATGTTTGTAAACCCTGTAAACTGCAAGGCGCACCGGCGACCGATGATAGACAGATATGGTCCAAAGTGATTACCTGCCAACCGAAGAGCCCCAGACTCACGATGCTGTTGTTGAAGCAAAGAAGCGTGATATGGCCGCCAGATTTGGCGGCTCTTACCTTGCACCCGGGAAAATTTATCGTGACTCAAGTGATATCTCATCCAAGGACAAAATGATACAAAAAATTTTGGATGATGCAGAAAAAGAAGATCACAAAAAAATCACTGAGGCTATGATGAAGGGTGCTGTAGACATGCGATCTATGTCGCAGGGAGACAGAATTCTTACTTCTATGAAGCTCAACCCTCTTGTTCCTTTAGGTAATGTCAAACTGATCTTTTGTTAAAAAAAAACAATTTTCTACTGATTCAACACACGGGCTTTGTCGCCCAGTCCAGTTGAAACATTGTGGCTTTGACAAGATTAAGGTTATGTACATCGGTGAGGCTGATCATCTGGCCACATAATGCCTCTAGGTGAATACACAGTCCAATTATCTAATTAGTGTCACCCAATTCCAGTTCATATTAATTGTTTGCTACGCTTGGGAGCACAGGATTACATCGCACATTGTTAGCCCACCATCTATCTAATAGATAGTGGGTTATTCAAATCGCCCTGCGTCCGTGGTCCGTCGTCTGGGCGTCTGTCCGTCCGTAAACAATTCTTGTTACCGCTATTTCTGGAAAAGTACTGGATGGATCTTTCTCAAATTTCATATGCAGTTTCCCCTTGGTCCCTAGTTGTGCATTGTACCTTTTTTGGACTGATTCGCATTCAAGATGGCCGACAGGTGGCCTTCTTGGATTTTGGAAGTAAAAGTTTGTTACCGCTATTTCTGGAAAAGTACTGGATGGATCTTTCTCAAATTTCATATGCAGTTTCCCCTTGGTCCCTAGTTGTGCATTGTACCTTTTTTGGACTGATTCGAATTCAAGATGGCAGACAGGTGGCCATCTTGGATTTTGGAAGTAAAAGTTTGTTATTTCCTAGTTGTGCTACCTTTTTTCTGTGAAAGTACTGGATAAAAGTTTGTTACTGCTATTTCTTGGAAAGTACTGGATGGATTTCAAATTTCATATGCAGGTTCCCCTTGGTCCCTAGTTGTGCATTGTACCTTTTTTGGACTGATTCGAATTCAAGATGGCCGACAGGCAGCCATCTTGGATTTTGGAAGTAAAAGTTTGTTACTGCTATTTCTTGGAAAGTACTGGATGGATTTCAAATTTCATATGCAGTTTCCCCTTGGTCCCTAGTTGTGCATTGTACCTTTTTTGGACTGATTCGAATTCAAGATGGCAGACAGGTGGCCATCTTGGATTTTGAATGTAAAAGTTTGTTACTGCTATATCTTGGAAAGTACTGGATGGATCTTTCTCAAATTTCATATGCAGGTTCCCTTTGGTTCCAAGTTGTGCATTATACCTTTTTGGACTGATTTGAAATCAAGGTGGCCCACAGGCAGCCATCTTGGATGTCGACAGTAATAAAGCACAAGCATATTGTCCATTATCCACCTGTAACTGACTGCTATCTAATAATACTTTGGGATCTTTTTCAAATGATATTTGCTAATAGGTGCTTAATAAAAATATCTTGTGCCATCATTGAGTACATTCAATGAAGACCAGTTCATGAACATTTACAACACCTGTTTTAAACAGAAAAAAATAAACAAATCTTCAAGAACTGAAAACAGATCCTCAAATGGTGGGTGCCAAGATCCCTGTGGGATCTCTTGTTCACACTCATATGGTCTGTCAGTAGACACAGCATTATTTAAAAGGTCACACTTATACTGACTATTACTATGGACACAAGTAATATAATAGGCCACACTCTTATTGTCTATTACTATGTATGCAGGGGTTATATAATGTCACAATCATATTATCTGTTACAATGGACACAGGTTTACTCTAATTGTCTGTTACTAAGAACTCTGAGGTACCTAATGTAATAGTCCACACTCATATTGTCTGTTACTATGGATAAAGGGGACACAATAGGTCATTCATATATTCTGTTACTTTGGATACAAGGCTGTACTCATCCTTTTTAAAATAGCTGACACATGCAAATCCTGATGAATGTTTGTAAACAGTGGTGGATACTTACAGATTTAAATACAAACTTGGTCAAAGTTTGTTTTTAAAATTTTAGTTTTAATGAAATATCCCGAGGCCCAAGGCAATGGTTAAGGTAGCACAAAGTAATTGTGAAGAATTCTTTCAGAGCCTTTTCTGTCTCTCCTTGATTTTGTTGTAAATAGTGTTATATTAAATGATTTTTTAAGATCATTTATAATTGGTGTATCTCTTTTTTGATCATTGTCTTGAAATTTTAACCTACAAACTTAATCTACTGATTTAGACAGAATTGGCAATTTTTTTTATGCGATTATATTATTGATTTATATGTGAAAATTTGTGATTGATTAAGTGGGATGTAAATGGGCCAACTTTTTTGTACCAAAAAAATAATATGGTATATATCATGATTAGAATGTCAGATTTTCTATTAAACTTAAGTATCACTACATTAACAAATATTTATTACTTGAAGTGTTTTTTTTTTAACTTCTCTCTTGTAGGATTGGCTGGAAGCATCATCACAATGTTGGTAGGAGTGAGAGCAGCATCAAAAGGACAAGTTGAAAAGAGTTATCGATTGATGAATGTCAGGTTTGGATTTGGATTAATGACAGCTGTAGCTTTGTTTGGTTGGCTACGTGTGCAGAAACTTGTATACCAGGATCGATTACGTATTGTCAAACAAGAGTTATTAAAGGAACTGGGCGAAGATGAAGATTCTTTAAATTTATAATTCAGTGAGTGATGAGATTTATATTGGAAGATGTTTGAACTGTTAACATACAAACTTTAGGGGAAAACTCTCACAACTGTGGAAGTTTTCACCAAAATTTTGTGGTTATTCTCCGGGTACAATGTATAGACAGAGCAGAATATATGCTGTGTCTAAATGTACAGGCACAGAAAATTTATGTGTCAAAGTCATTTCATATATATAAAACGAATAAATTTCATGTGAAGACCATCAATAAAAAATTGCCCTTAATTTCAAGCACAGTGTATTTGAGAAAATGTATGTTTGTAGTTGATGTGTACAATAGAGGAACGATAATTTTATTTAAATGTTGACAAGAATTGTAAGAATTAAAATGTTTTGTTTTGTATGGTTGGAGTCTTTCTTTTCTGTTAAAATGATCTTGGGTTTGGAAAGTTATAAATAATAAATCAAAATTACACTAAAAATAAACAGGCCCAATGGACCTGCATTGCTTATCTTGTGTACAAAGGTTTTCAAATCAATGGCAAGGTCTTGTTCACTGACAAGAAATCAACTGAAACTTTTAACAAATTTTGCACTTGTGACATTAAATAAGTGCTAAGGTCGTTTCTTTTCCCTAACTTTGTTAAGCTCTCAGGGAATCCACCAGCCAAACATCATGATTTTAGGCCTTTTTCTTAATGAGAAGGAAGTCATTTGAAGATTATAAAGACCCCAGTGATCTTGAACATCGGTCTAGGTAATTTTTTCCCATACTTTGTTAAGTTTCATCCCAGTACCGTAACTTATTAGCCAAACAACATGACACTAGTTCTTTGGAGTGATGAGAAGAATTTATTGAAGACTTTAGCAAAGTTGCTCCCTGTAACTTTGAAAATGGATAAGTGTTATATAATTTTGGTAAACTTTGAATTTATCAAAGAACCTTTAGCTTCCAGTCAAATATCTTGATTCATTGCCATTTGGTATTTGAGAATAAGTTCTTGAAACAAATTAGACTCCTACAACCTCAAATATTATTCAAAATCATTTTGTTTTGCAAACCTCGTTTGGCTTCATCCAAGGAAACATCCAGCCAAATATGATTATATAAATTAGATAGATTATATAGAAAATCAAGATGGCTGGTGGGTGGCCATCATTGATTTGGATTAAAAGCTTGCTAATCCCATTTTACTAACAAAAACTGGATCGATCATTCTCAAAATTTATACTGTGGAAGGTTCCCCTTGGTCCTTTTTTGTCCATTTTTAACCTTTGATCCAAATATAACTAGATATCTTAGCACTCAAATGAACTTATGAAATGATTCTTAATTACCATGAGGATTAAAGGTACATTTTACAATTCTTGTGAAATAAACCACACTTACACTCCTTTAAGACCTTCATACAAATTCTTATGAGAAGCCAAGAATTTCTAGGCAAGACCCACCTTTTTTCCTTCACCTAAACTTCAGGCCAAATTTGGATAATATCCTGAAATTCCTACAGAACAAGATAGATTTTAAAGAAATTGATAGATTTTCCCTATTGGGCCCTGCTCCTCAGGCCTACCATTTACACAAAATTGGCCCACTTTCCCCAAAGATGCTTCAGACCAAATTGATAAGAGTCTGCTAAGTCTTTCATGAATAGTTGCAATATATAGTAAAAGCTGCCAGATATGGAACAACAGACACAGCATTATCCCTATCATTCATTTGTCCCTTTGGGCCAGAAGAGCTAAACGCAAGGGACATCAGAGATGGGCTATGCTTCCCGAATGGGACAAACTTTAAGTATGAAAAATAACAAAGAGCAATAACTCCTATATTATGCAAAAGATATTTATAGTTATTGTACTCAGCACTGTTCTTTGTTGAGATCTATCTATCTAAGAAGTTTAATGTTGATACCTCTTATAGTTTTTGTGTTATGCTCCAGACAAAATTGAGACATGAATAAATGGAAAGACAAACTGGGGAGCATAAAAAGAATAAGCTTTTATTTACAATTTTTTAAATAAATGGCACCAGTTTTTTCCACACTGATGTTGATGGTGGCCAAATTGAATGCAAGATTTACCTAAAAATTATCAGCACTTGATAAAGACCATCTCATAATTATTTCAGGCAAATCTAAGCTGAATCTCATAGGTGGAACTTGAGAAGAAGTTTAAAATAGATGTTGTCCAGATAAACCATGATTGCATGATCATGTTACAAAAAGACTGTTGTGGCTGCCATGTTGAATTTTAAATGAGACTGAAAAATAAAAACACTTGGTTTCATGTCCTATTCATCCTCCCCAATATTTCAGCTTAATGGCACCTAAGAAACTTCAGAAGAAGCTTAAGATGACAGCCATTTTGGATTTCAAACCTGCCTGAAAAATAAAGGAACTTGGTAAGAAGCATCTCAGAATCTTTCAGGGCAAGTTTCAGATCAATCTTGCATGTGGATCTAAGTTTAAAATGTCTACTGCAGACAAAGACAGATGAAGCAAGTTGATATGGAACATCCCAACCTTTCAGCCAAATGATCTATAAACTACAAAATTTGAGTCAAACAATAATGCATATATTGCAGTTTGTTGACCTTGGTCTGGTGTAGATAAGTCCTATTTTGATGTCATCCCAGTGAGGCCCTTGATTGGTAGTCAGTTTAATGGATAACACTACAGATAGCTGCTGAAAGTTTTATTTGTGTTAGAGATGATCATGATCTAATAATCACTCAACTTTTTTATATAAAACTGAAATTTTATAAGTAAGCTTCACATTTGAAGTAAAGATATAGTAATATTGTAACTACGCATACATGATAGGCATCATATTGCAACAAATATATTGCAATACACGTCTTAACACGAGTTGGATGGCAATACATAGGCTAAGTATATCTTTACCACTTTACCAGTTTTTTTTATATAATATCAGATTCAACACACATGACAACTGGCAGCTTTGCTTTAACTTGGCGATGGTCATTTTAAGTTGAAGCCACTTTGATAGACTTCCACACAACTGATGGCAGTTTCACAAATTAGCCTTCAAGGGTCACTTCATGGGTCATCATCAAAATTCTCTGAATACATGTATTCTCTCAGATTTCATCAAACATTACTGATGACAACATCAAAAATTGTCAAGTTTTTCACTGGTCAGTTAAAGTTTACAATACTTCGATAGATATAATGATGGGCTCATCCAACATTACTGCTGGCAGCTTTACTTCCGGTCAAATTTGGTTTACTGGTCAGTAATGACCGCAGACTGGTAGATGTTTCTAGAAGAGATGTTGCCTTTCCAGCTAAAGGAGCCCCTGGAACAGATATAAACTTAAATCATAATCCAAATCCTCCTAACTATATTAATGCACAAAAGATTTCTGACCCTAAAGCTAATCACAAAACTTTACTGTCTGCTCAATGGAAACCATATTTTATTTTTCGGCTGAGCATATTTAATTCTATAGTTAACAGTTTCTAAATCAACTTTATTCAGTTATAAGAAATTTGTATCTGATCTTCCAAAATAGATCAATTTTATTAAATATAGTATTTATCCTTCAGTGGTACCTAAAGGCCTACAGATTGGCTTATTACAGAACACCAACAAAAGCTTTCCTAGGTGACTCTTCAAAATGCAATAGATTTGATAAGACTTATTACTCGACATGGCTCATTGCTAAATAACATTTCATCAATACAACCTGAGGTCATGCCAGTTTTTACCCAAGTGTCCTTTACAATATCTCCTGAGAGAAGGGAATTAAAGAAGGGTTTAATTTTGATTTGACCAAATTACCTTTAGTTAATAGTTTAAATGCCTCAAAGCTGATTGAAGGGTCATTGGTTGCATCAGTGACCAGGTTTTCCACAGTTTCCATTTTGTTGATTTCAAATTTGACCCATTTGTATCCTGTGCAGCGTTTGGAACCTGGACAGCTTTGTATTAAATTCTGAACAACAGGATGAGACAAACCAAAAAACTCTGCTCCTTTTCCAACTAAGTCAAGCATATTGTTTCCCCTGAAGGAAAAAGACAGCACATACACCATTGGTAACATAAAATACTACTTCTAACACAAATATAAAATCTACATCAGATTACAAACCCAACATTAACTGTGTGTAGGCATTATAAGGTAAAAAAAGACAGCACATACACCATGAGTAACATAAAATACTACTTCTAACACAAATATAAAATCTACATCAGATTACAAACCCAACATTAACTGTGTGTAGGCATTATAAGGTAAAAAAAGACAGCACATACACCATTGGTAACATAAAATACTACTTCTAACACAAATATAAAATCTACATCAGATTACAAACCCAACATTAACTGTGTGTAGGCATTATAAGGTAAAAAAAGACAGCACATACACCATGAGTAACATAAAATACTACTTCTTATAAAATCTACATTACAAACCCAACATAAACTGTGTGTAGGCATTATAGGGTAAAAAAAGACAGCACATAACACATAATATAAAATCTACATCAGATTACAAACCCAACATTAACTGTGTGTAGGCATTATAAGGTAAAAAAAGACAGCACATACACCATGAGTAACATAAAATACTACTTCTTAAGATTACAAACCCAACATTAACTGTGTGTATAAAATACAGCACATACACTAACACAAATATAAAATCTACATCAGATTACAAACCCAACATTAACTGTGTGTAGGCATTATAAGGTAAAAAAGACAGCACATACACCATGAGTAACATAAAATACTACTTCTAACACAAATATAAAATCTACATCAGATTACAAACCCAACATTAACTGTGTGTAGGCATTATAAGGTAAAAAAAGACAGCACATACACCATGAGTAACATAAAATACTACTTCTTATAAAACACAAATATACCAACATTAACTGTGTGTAGGCATTATAAGGTAAAAAAAGACAGCACATACACCATGAGTAACATAAAATACTACTTCTTATAAAATCTACATCAGATTACAAACCCAACATTAACTGTGTGTAGGCATTATAAGGTAAAAAAAGCTAAAATTCTCTGAACCTCCTTTTTTTTTTAATTTGACATTGCAAAAATTACATCTTTAGAGCAGAAATTAAATTAATAAGCAACACCATGATGAAATAGTGGCACCACCATAACAAAACACAATGTCAAGGCATCACATTATAAATGTGTAAATAATAGAAAATAAATACATTTAATACAAACATTAATCAAAATATCACAATTTTATAGAAAACATTGTAGGCGCTAAAAAACATTTTCTACAAATTGAAATCCTATTCCTTATACATACTTCTACACATATTCCCTGACTCTGGACCTGAAAGTAGGTCAATGTCAACCATTTGAATTAATAAGTGAACCAATATCAACAGCCTGGACATTTTGGTTACGGAGATGAATTTAATTGAATACTTTAACATACTTGACCCATGTGACATACAAAACAGGACAAGGTCAAACACATAAACAAAATTGATAACCTTTCATCTCAGTATACGGATGTCTTTTATCAAAATTTGAATTAGCTTGTGCTTTATCCTAGCATGCTGCAGACCCATTAATAAGGCACCCTGGGCATTTTGGTTATTGAGAAAAAGTTAAATGTCTGGACATATTTGACATCTGTGACCTTGAAAGTATGTCAAAGTCAATATAATATGAACAAACTTGGGAGCCCTGTATCTCAACATGCTACAGGCCTAATATCAGCACCTTGGGCCTTTTGATTATTGAAAACACATTGTTTAAAGATTTTGCTATACTTAACCCGTTTAACCATGAAAGTGGGTCCAGATCAATAATTTTAAAAACATTGTAGTCCTTTATACCAAAATACTAAAAGCATGATATAGCACCCTGGTTAATAAAGTTATTGAGAAGAAGTTCTTAAAAATTTTTATAATATTTTACCCCTGTGACCTTGAAAGTCGGTCAAGGTTAATCATAAGAACAGATTTAGTAACCCATCCTCCCAGCATGCTATGATCACAATATCTGCACCCTCAACCCATTCGTTACTGTAAAGAGTTTGTTTAGAGCTGAATACATTTTACACCTCATGAACTTGAAGGTAGGTCAATGTCAATCATATTAACAAAATTGGTAGCCCTTCATCCCAGTATGCTTTAGGTCCAATATCAGGACCCTGGGCTTTTGGCTAATTGAGAAGAAGTCATTTGAATGGAAAATTTACGCATGGCAGACAACAGACAAAACACAATGGCGGACGATGACATTCACGATCGCTATAGGTCATCCAGATCTAATAAGCTGACAGCTTGTTTTGTAATTGTTGTAAAACAAAGCTTATGTTATAGTATTATATCAGAGTATTTATTACTCACCTGCTTTTGTTAACTGCTGTGATAAGAAGGTTGTGGCAGTCTGATGGAGAATCACTTCTAAGCACACGGTCAGTGTTGTCTTCTGGGGCTATTTCAAACTACATGTGATAAAGAACTATTGATTTAAATCTCAGTAAAGACTTCACATCACTACGAACAATTCATACACAAAATCCATTATTTATTCCCACTCCTGGGCAGTCACATTTCCTTCTAATCCAACACAATGCTTTATTTCTTGGAGGCAAACTATCAACCACCTCGTTTAATCAAGTGATAAAATAGTTGTAATGACTTAAAATGGTTGTAGGAAGCCTTTGTAATTGAGCAAGCATTTAACATATTTATCCATCAAAAAGCAAAAGTGTGATACTAAAATTATTTTTCAGAAGAATTACAAACAAATGTTCTTTGATAAGGCCTTGTACTTACAATAGGTCCTTTTCCACTGTCTGATATCTTACATGTGTACAGACACTTTTGATCATCTCCACTAGTACTGGCAAACACTCGCGTGCTACAGTAACCTTCTGGATAGATACACTTTGGAGTATGGAATCCTGGACGATCTGTGACAATCTGTCATAAAAAATAACTTATTTAGCTTTTCTCTCAGGATTAGATATTGCTTCAAATGTTTGTTGTACTACACATAATTTCAATTTTTTTACAAAGATTTCTGGAGAAAAATTTTAATTTACCTTTTATGCATCTGCTTGAAATATAAATGTGAATATGTTTCCCCTAAAGCGACATCGAAAGGGGCAAAAGAGGCCTGCATTTCTCATATGTTATGAAGTTTTTAAGCAAGGATATTAAGAGTTGAGTTTCATACTTATCCCCAACTGATAACTCTTTTCTTCACAGAATGTTGCAAGAAAAGTTACAGATCTCTTTGGAGATTTGTCACATTTGACTTGAATTTAAACCAATATTTGTACAAACTTCATTTCATACTAGTATGCTAAAATTCAGATAAAGTTGTTGGAGGATTTTAACATATATGACTTCTTTGAACTTGACAGTGGGTCAAGGTCATTTGATCAGGTTTGCAGTTGATTTGATGTACAATTGTAAGCTATATATGACATATGGGAAAATATGCATCAAAATCATGATAATAGCTACCTCGCCAATACTGTGAATAGTCAACTCGCCAAGGACCAAAGGAAAAACTGGACGTCCAGTCGAGTCCAGTTGTAGAGGAGGAATGACTTTCTTTATGATTTGGCTTTTACTCTTCTTTGGTTTCACCTGGACACCATCTGAAATTTTACCATCTAAAAAAGTTTTTTGTTTTTAATACTGTTGCAGTATACATGAAACTTAAAAACAGTGATGACAATAAATTTCAAAGTTGAATGGAATGGTGGTTATCATACAAACTACAATTAAGGTACATCATATACGCATTGTGGATATTACAGCCATGAAGGGCAAGTCACCTCTGTTCTCTTCGAAATCAAAATCTGAATTCATAAGGTCGTTTATAATATTTTGTTCTTCAAAATACTCTCTGGATAGTGAGACAATCAAAGTAAGTGTTAGCTAGAAAATAAGTGCCACTGCATTTGGTGTTCCAAAAGTGGGACAAACAGATCAGAGGGGAAAAGAAGATTAGAGGTGGCCCAATAGTGGGACAAACTAGATAACCAAAATAAAGGCAGCTGGATACCCAGATAACCAGATTAAATGTGGCCTGATACACAGATAACCAGGTTAAAAGTGACATGATACATTGATAACCAGTATAAAGACAGCTGGATACCTAGATAACCCGATTAAAGGTGGCTTGTCATACATAGAAAACCAGATTAAATGCATCTGGATACCTAGATAACCAGATTAAAAGCAGCTTGATAACTAAATAACCAGGTTAAAGGGGGCTGGATGCCTAGATAACCAGATTAAGACAGGTGGATACTTGGGTATCCAGGATGAAAATATCACAGCTTTATACATTGTTCTCACAAAGATCTGAATCAACTGGTTGGTATTCTGAAATAGCCGGCTGAAGAGCAACTTGTATTTACATCTAACATATATCCTAAAAGAACAGCCAGTTCGAAGTTAATGAATAAGTCCTCTTCAGCCGACAACCAGCTTTTATGGGGAACACTGCTTTAGATATATCACTGTATAATGATTTCTTTGTAATGATAAACAAACACATCCAACATGTTATATTGTCATTTCTCACCTAATAACTCTTTAGTTGTAGCAGCTTTCTTTCGTTCTGTGGAAGGCACTTTCTTTTTTGTTTTATTTTTTACTTTCACACTCTGTGGATCACTGCTCTCTCCTGGAGACAACCCACTTAATTTGAGTGAAGCGCCACCTGGTGAGGATTTCTCAGATACAGGTGTTCCCTCTGTGTAAGATTGATAATGCAAAGCTTTACGAAGCAGGAACCTGAAATATACAAATACAATCATTAATTTCAAGAAATTTGGTGCATTGAACAAGTATCTTAGCAGGTTCTATCATTTTTAGGTCTCATATCAAAATGATAGTTTATAAGATATTGTAACCCTCGGATAGAGAGATCACTTAAACTTCATCATTTTAGCAAAAGACTAGCATGCTAGAGGTCCAGTTTATGATCCCTGAAAGAGGCAATGAAATACATTAATGACTTTTGTTACAATATATCCACATATTTTCATAATTCATTGGTTTAGAAAAATAATGTTCAGTACCTGGCACAACATTCTATATCTGCATTTTTTCCAGATTAAATCACAGACCCATGAGGTTCAGAGATTTTTGTCAGGTGTTTTTGTGAATGCACTTAATTTTAAAATTTGCATGCATTTTACTATATCTTGCGAAAAGGGCATAGGTGATATGTCCATTTTATTCAACTGGCAACTTGTCAAACCTTAATAAAAACAACTAACACTATCAATTTTAATTGTTACATTCATCATTTGATTAATCTAAACTTTTAACAAAGAAAAATTGTTTAAAAACCATTACATTTTTTGGGAAGTAGAATGAGGGAGAGCCCCACAAACCCCTGGGGCTTGCAGGCACTTTCCTTTATAATTACAACACACTGTATCAAAGCTTAGAAAACTATCTGCAGACTACATAAGTTCAACACAGAAAACATTTTTTTAATTGTAAGTTCATGTACTCATTAACCTTAAGACTTGGTGTCACAGAGATAGAAACAAGGGATAGTTAACGATGGTACAAAATTAATGGAACTCTGTTATCTTGAAAACAGGACTGAACAGGATAATTCATTACAATCTATTTTAATTAACTTCTGAAGTCTTTAAAGCATATAACTATACAACTAAGGTCAGAACATTGACTTCTTTAAATGCACAAAGGATGTGATATGAATCCCTTGCCTTTTCCTGACATCAAATTAAACATAATAATCTATAGCTATACTCATAGTGAAGGTACCGTCTTTCTTCTTTAGCTTTTGCCACTTTTTCTTCCACTCTCACGACCTCATCACAGATGGCAGCATTCACCTGTGTTTACAATAGAATGAGTAACAGCATGAATCATAAGGCCAAATGACAGCTATTGTACAGTTGATATCACTTAATCAATTCATAACTACATGTTTTTTATCTGAAATCACTAAAAATATTTTGCCATAATTGAAAACGCAATTTTTCCACTGAAAATTTCTGATGAATGACATTTTCTATGACATAGAAATGGATTAATCTTAAAAAACTTACAAACATCAAATCCTTGATGACCTTTTTTAGTCGTCTCCATTTCCTTATATAAGGGTTTGGAGCTAAGATAGGCCTGGTGATGATTCTCCCAGGTACAGGATGGGTACCGCTTGGAAATCTACGATAGATAAAAAATGTACAGGAATACCTCAGCATAGATAATGCAAATTAAATCTTATAAAGGAAATATTTCATAACTTTAAACTATTCTACAAGAACAAATGTCGCATTTTCATTTCTTTCAAGATCTGATAATTAGATATTTGCTCAAAATGAATTTATTTTGTAATCATTTAATCATTAATGCTGAGTGTTTTCAGAACCTGGCTACAAACCTAAATTTGGTTTCAGAGTTGTGCTTTATAATAGAGAATATCTGAATCAAGATGAAACACTTACACTAACTTCTCTGACCAACAGATCTTGGTAAACTACAATAAAACCTAATGAAGTCAACTGTTTTCTTTTTTCAATAATATCTTATTCAATTCACCATTAATGAATTCCCGAAATCAGATCATTTTTAAAGAGAAAGAGAATTTCTTTCAAAGAAAATGATATATCATTTCTCTCATTTTTTCTCCTTACCGGACAGGATTGCGAGCCAGCATTGAGTGTGCTATTGAGCCTGGAGATCCAGAGACTAAAGATGGATGAGAGGCTTGTATAACATTTGGTCTCACCTTGGATACACCTCCAACAGGTTGCATTATTGTCTGTAATGATTTGCAAAAGAACATGAATATCACAAAAAAATCCAGAACAATATCTGGTCAGTTACAAAACCTTAATAAACCTACATTTTAACAATTCTTTCCATCTGGGTACTTTTTAAGTAAAGAAATATTTTTATCGGCTTAGTAGCACTGCAGAAGCACTGTCGGTTATAGGTAAAGGCTATACATACACGACATTTTGACATGAATGACAGAAGTAGTTGTAGGGAAGACATTCAACAACCCCTCAGATTTGTTTCAGTATCTGACTAAATATAGATCAAAGCAGAAATTATAATGGTTAAAGATTGATTGCATAATGATGCATAATGATAATGGTAAATAGCCTTGCTTATTTCATCACCCCAGTCAAGGTTTGTATATCAGAATGATCTATATAATATACATGCAACAAGTAACAAGTATATTTACCTGTGCTTAGTCCACAAGGGTTTTGTAGAGTTATCTACATGGGGGGGGGGTCAAACCTATTATATATGCCTTCAAAGTTTCATAACATGATTTTTAATGTTTATCATCAAATATTTGATATTTATGTTAGTGTTGAACCTCAAGGTTCAGAATATTTGGATGTTAAAATAATGGTGTTTAGTTGAAAATTTCATCTGTGTGCTGCAATTTCTGTGTTTTTTTTTCAAAAATGGGAATAGGGAATTTCAATTTCATTAATGAAATATTGACTGTTTATTAATGTTGAGGTTGCTACAACTGGCACATTTTGCCTTTAACCATGACTTCCATCACATCAAACATGACTGCTGGCACAGGATGTTGAGTTGACCAACATCTGAAACCAACACTTTTCCTGACTCTTCAGATGCTTATGATGAAATCACACTATGGTAGGAACATTTTAATTTGATGATTTATGACTAATATTCATAACATAAAAAACTGAAAATCAGTTTTTCATTATCATTTCATTTCAGACCTTCTGTCGATATCACACCAAAGCGATTGGACCAACTGTCGATAACTAAATGATTTTTCGTGTGATTTTAATACAGATGAAAATGGTCACGACATGTCTTTTAGGAGTTTACAAATCAATAAGAAAAATCATTGACAATTATTCGGACCAAAACAGCAAAAATATACATATATTTGTGTTCGAGCACTGGTCAGTCGAGTTAATCTTTAGCTGGATAACGAATTATAAACAAGAAACCTTAAGTTTGAGTAGTTGCAGTACCTGGGCTGCCATCCCTGGCATAACAGTTTGATCTGCAGTAAATGCCGTTCCAACTTTACCAGTCAGTAGACTTATATGTTGCGACGCTGTTGGTTTTACATTTTGCTTCTGGAGTCCAGCTTCATACTGTTGCAAAAATGCGGAATCTTGACTGAAAATGTTATTTGATGCTTCTCCCGGTATGTGATTTCTTTCCATGATCGTTCTCTTTAAGCAAATTGACTTCTGGAACTCTCCTGCGTGAGAAACACTCGTCTGTGTTTTGAAGTGTTTAAAACTCTTCTCACGGAAGAAAATTTTAAACGTTTATGTGACACAGATCGTTGTTTGAAGATGGCGTCCAAAACAAGGCCTGCAAGTGAAAATTGTCTTAGAAAGATATCAAAACCGGTTATTAGCACGGATGTTATGGGAAATAGAAATGTTGAAATAAGGGCCGTTGGTGCTTGGGTTCAACCAGCCGTTTCTGTACATTCAGAAGGCGTTGTACGTATATAAAACATACTGTTTAAAGTTACAATTTACATGTCTAAACTTGTACATATATTTTTTAATTGATTTAAATTTGCAAACCTATAAACTGATAACATGAATATAGATTCATTATTATTTTCAGATAGTAAATTTGGAAAATGCTATTTCATATAATCTGAATAAAACTTGTCGACTTAACTCTAAGATCCACGTACACAAAAATTTAAGATATAATTAAATACGTTGTACTTATTTTCAGAATGCAGCCTATGAAGAGGATGCAAGAATTAAAAAAATACAACATGAAAAAGAAGCGAGATTGCAAAAGTTTAAAGATGATGTTAAAAACAGAGTAAGATTAATGGAAAAAGCAAGAAAACAGCAAGAAATTGAAAAGAGTTACAGAGCTGTAAGTTTGAAAGGGATGGCTTTTTCAATGATTTCACATTGTAAAACAGAATTTTGAACAGTAGTTGGTGTTTTCATCCTTAAATACCCTATTCTTCATTGGTCTTGTCTAGTTTAGCAACAATACACAAAGAAGTCAAATAGCTATTGGACAAAAGTAAAAAAAACAAAATCTGATGCTTGGATTTTCCCCGTTTACCTGGCAAATTAAAATCCGTAGCCAAAAATAAGCCTGATCACATCTAGGCCTATAGAAGATTCATGGAAAATGTCAATAAATGCTGTTATCCTGTAATAAGCCACATCTCCCTACTTTAAGTCTGATGTAATGGGGCGATTCTTTAGATTTGTTGCAAGATATAAATATAAGAACCATTTTGTCAGGATAGATTTCATGTATATGTTACGACACTACTGTGTTGTGAAGAATCAGATACCAAAATGCAATGCATTACAGGACCTGAAAGAAACTATGTTTAGTGGATGGTCGGGTTTTGCAGTGGTAGCACACTAGCATTTCTCCTGGCCCTCCAGGGTTCAATTCCAGGAATGGATGTGAAAAGGTATGGGGTCACCTGCCTGACCATGTGGGTTTTCCATGGGTTCTCTGGTTTCCTCCCAGGGTCAACAAGAGTGATCAATTTGGAAAAACTTGTGTAAAAGTAGTGAGTTCATTGTACTTACGCCCTGTTAAATCATTGTGTCTGTCATGTGTTGTCAGAGTTCTGTTACGTCGCCGCCTTGTTTGTTTACTAGGGATATTCCAGTTTGGGGATTCCCTTGCACTTTTATTATTTAGACGGCTCTGATTGGTTAATATTTTAGGCACTTGTCACCACACCTGTACATTACTATACCTACTCCGGTGACAGGTCGCACGTGTAATTCATGGCATACTATTAAATTTAGCTATATAGCAGAGTGTTCGGGTGGTATAAGTCAGTCTGGCAGTAGCTTTCATGCAGCTGGTCAGCTCTCTTTCTCCCTAGAAAGGTAAGTAGGACTCTTTCGGCCTTAGACCTCTAAATTACTCTGGGTTGGGCGGTATTTTCCCCTAGCAGGCAGTTGTTTAAAGTTATTATTATGTTCTGGTAGGGTTTACGGTAGTGTTACATATCCCAGGGTTGGGCAACTGGGTGGCAGTTGTTTTAGGATAGTAGGAATTTACTGGTAGTGTAACCAAGTAAAGTCATAGCCGTCGTCGGAGCCGGTGTATCTTGTTCATCATTGTAAATATCTCCATGTTTATTTGTCTGTTGTAACTAATAAACTCGTTAACTTTTATTCCTGTCTTGAGTTATTGGTCTGTAGCCATGGAATAATAAGACAGAACCACAGAGAAGACGAACTAGAAAATATTCCACTATACGATCACTCTGTCAGAAGTACCTGTGTACTGTGACGAATTTAATACTTTTACACTTGTTTTGCAATTGTTTCTAATTCATGTTCAGGAAAATAGATTAGATAAATGTTTATATCAGAAGTATATATTTTTCACAAGGTGGAACATGAAAGAAAAATTGTTCGTCAGAGTGCATTTTCAAAGGAAAACACACTTCCAAGGAAAGATAACTGTATTGTACAGAAGAACCATGCCTTGACGATCAAACAGCGAAATACATCATTATCCTTTGCTGGTAGGTAGATAATAATATTTGTGTAAAAGCAGGTTCAAATTTACACTTATATGTACTTGGTAAATTTCTTTCAGCTCATCTGGCACATTTGGACTGGCAAAATAAAAATAGCCTTGCAAGTAAGCTTGTGTATGAGATATCTCATGAACCCCATAACACATTGGATTCATATTCATATCATACCCTGAAATCATTTTTGGTAGAAATTTATGTACATTGATTTCATGAGTACTTTAAATCCAGGAATGTATATGTTCACGAACTGTTTAAAATAAGTATAAGTTTGAAAAAAGACATTTAAAAAATACAAAAAAGGAAAATTAAACCTCACAAAAGTATGTGATTTGTAATAGTATGGCAACGTCAAGATCTATGCCTGATTGAATGTTGGTATCATCGGCTAAGGTTATAGGTTAGGGGTTACACTTAACCACTTTTGTAATAATATTATTGTTGGCCAGTTTAAGATGTGACAGAAGATACACATGTATCTGCATGAGCTTACTTTGATTGATTTTGCATGAAATTATATATTTGCATTTCAATTTTTAACAGAGGAACATAGGGATTCTACAAGTAAAGCTTTTCAAGATCAGACAAACCAGGTGAGTTCAATTTATCTTAAGTGCATTTTGAAGACTTGTATGTACTAAGTTGATGGTGCATCTATTCCTTCACACAATTGTTGGTACATACTGCCACCATTATGTATGCCTTTATTCCCAGCTAGGGGATGATTATGAAATTAATGGTAGATTTTGATAGATAAACAAGGTTTTACTCTGAGTGAGGTTAAATACACTTTTTACAATGAATTCAGATATTACGTCACTTGTTTTATTGATAAAGTATTTTATAGACATGGTTTTCTTAATTTTTTTGATGAATTAATTTACTGGCTAGTCAATTTTTTTATATATGTTTATTGCTAGATTCTTTTAAAGTTACTTCACAATTAGACAGCTTATGTAGGTTTTTAATGTCAATTGCTGTTTTTTAGATACATAAATTCACAACACAAGCTCGTAAAAAACTCAGTTCCAAGCAGGTGATAACAGAGGATTTCATTCCTGATGATCTACCAGGTGGTGTCTGGAAAGTCTCTAGGACGAGAGATGTAAGTGACAGGCTAAAGCCTTATCTCATCGTACAAGATTTATTCATGAACTCTAGTGCCAATGAAAATGTATCTTAATGGAAAACTACAAAATTTGAGCCTCACAAAAATGCAATGGTTTTACAGTAATTGATACTCTTCTTTGCTTGTCTTGAATTGTCTCAAACACAAATCAAACAAACCAAATATCATTTCTAGCAGAAATACTCTTTTCTTTTCTCAATATAATACTTATAAATCTTACATAGAAAGATAAACATGTTTTCTTTTGAGAAGAACTTGATCAGTTGCTTTATTGGTTATTCAAACACCGCTAAGGTGCTCCAATGAAATGCATGTACCACACTCAAGAGAGATGGTTGTCTTCAAATAATTGAGAAAAATCCATATTAATCACCCCAGTTTCCATCAGTCCTTACTTTAGTTGATCTGGGACAACCTGATTGTTCTCTTGTCGGACTCTCATTAACTTCAGCTGTGTTGCTCTGTGTACATTTTAAGTTGTTCTGTGGGATTTGTTTATACCGGAGTACTTTTACACTTTTAATCTGAATACTTTCACAGCATCCATCCTCACGATACACCATGGAACCAACTGTCATTGAATTAGATGATGAAGATGAAAATGAGATTGACATGTTGAAAATACAAATAGATCAGCCAAAAATTGTCATTCCTACAGGTAGAATCATTTTTTTCTTTTGGAGTAAAGTAAATGAACATTTATATGTACAAAGGATGTCTTTAGTTGTCACCACAGGTGCACTTGATTATTATAGAGAACAATATTGGCAGGTACTTTTTATCATTATAATAAAAAGTAATTACAGGTACTCTTTATTATCATAATTAACAATAGTTACAGGTACTCTCTATCATTATTATAACAATTATTACAGTTACACTGTATTATTATAAATAACCATTATTTACAGGTACAAATTATTATTATATATTGTGATATCAAACAATAATTACAGGAATATTTTTCACACCATGCAAAAATCTTTTAATTAAAATTTCAATTTTTTTAACTTAATTTGATTGCATAGAATAATTCTGTCTTGAATTCAATCTTTTTTGTATTGTTAATCATTTTTGGTTCTTAGGAAGTCAAGATTTGGATGACAATGTAGAAAAAATGCAGAAGATGAAAATGGTCCACTTTGATTTGGAACCAAGCAAAGATGAATCGAGACAGGAGAGAATTGCAAGAAAAACAAGTAGATATCTAGATTCTCAGATTTTCTATCATTTTACTTACATTTCATGTGTTTGTCAGCATTTTTAAAAAAATTGTATGGCCTGTATCACAAAGGTTAAAGTTCCAGTGAAATATCAGTGTGTTCTTAATATAACTAAGGTTAAGATTTTGAATTATTTAATATTCATATCGCTATGATCTAGAATCTATGTTTAAATTTTGTGCTATGTAATTAAGATTTAGATATTTTACAGCAGTTTATCAGCTTTTGTTAAACAATATATATATATATCATAGGTGTGGAGACTGTTGTCCTTTAACTTATCATGAATTCAACTTCTTCTTTTCAATGTACTTTATGGTCTCTCTGCAAGAGATCCTAAAGGAAAGAAAGTTTCAAAAATGACTCTTGTTAGTAGCTTTAAAGTCAAACCTGATGATAATAATCATACTTTCAGTTTTGGTGTTGTGCACCTCATGTCATTTCCTTGATCACAGTAGAACTTACTATATCATTACCAGTAAATATCAAAATATTCAGTCATTGTGTAAGTTATTTAACTACGGTGTATAAATTATAGGTAACTTGTTCTTAAAACCATTAACATTGTTGGAATTGGGAAGCAGGTGATCCCATCTCTTTTCTTGTCTGATCAGGGAATTTAAACCTCAGGGAAGATAGGTGTGTTAGCAACACCTACACTCAACCTCTCCTGCACATGTACATATCATATGTTATAATGTATCTGATTAGTGATCTTAATCAAAACTTACATTTCTATCCTATTAATGTCATTCATGTTAATGCTGATTTTGTGTTGGATAAGTGGGAGTATTTATCTGAATTACAGTCACAACAATAAGTGGTACACAAATCAACAGAAATATACCACATGTGCCAAACATTTACATGGGCGTGCAGTCAGAAGAAGAAAAGCAACGTCTCAAAAGTCAACAAGCAACCTATAGACGTTTGTTTATGGACATCGAGAGGGAACAAGTCAAAGAGAATCTGAAACGCAAGGAACACAGGAAACGCATTCAGAAGTAAATAATTTATTTCTAATAATCATAAGTGCAGTGAGGTTGTGATAAGTTTTCTCAGATATAGCAATCAAATTTTTTGACAGGAACTTAAAGGGTTAACCCGCATTTTTCCATGAATAAGAGCTTTTGATTACAAGGCAGTTACAGACAAAAATCAAAGTATTGAAAGAACTGAAAGGTTTGATATCAGGAAATAGTAGTGAGATCTATAAATAGGTCACCAAAGGTCACAGGTTACATTGAACCAAAAGTGATACATGTTTCTTTTCCTGATATATTGTATGCTGTATGTAAATATTAATACACATATTTTACAAAAGGTCAAAGGTTAAATTCATTGATTATAATTATCATTTGAAGTAATTTATTGAAAAAGTATCTCGAATTTTATATCTGAATTAATATTGTAGGTAAGTAATGTGGATTGGTTAATCAAGTTGTATTGATGGATATTGTATGGTTATAAAAACAAACACTATGTCAGACCTTATCATACGACTGGCCCAGACCAAATGTTGTACTAGACGGAGTGGGCAAAACAATGCCTGTTAGACCTTATCATACGACTGGCCCAGACCAAATGTTGTACTAGACTAAGTGGGCAAAACAATACCTTCTCTTAGTAATATAACAACTAACATTGCCAAAGTATTATCCTTATATGGCAAAACTACCATCAATTTCATTACGTGGATAAAGGCTTACCTAGCTATAAAAATAGGCACTAGAATGCTGGAAGTAAACCTTACAAAGCATGTTCTTTCATATCCTAAGAATGGATAACTATATAATCACATTTATTTTCTGTAAATTGTAGATTGAAGAAGGAAAAGGAAGAAGAGAGACGAGAAGAAGAGGAGAAGTCACGTCGTTTTGTTGAGCCTCGGGACCCCATCACAGGAGAAACATCACTCCAGGCCTTGACACGTGAAATAGAAGAGCAAGAGCAAGTGAAGGAAACAATTCGCAAGAATCAACTCAGAATGAAAAAGCTCCGTGAGATGGAAAGGTGAGATCATTCTATTTTTAGAAAAATCTCTTTCTTAAAGATGTAGATATAAGATATCTAAATTTTACCAGACAGAGAAGAACTTTTTTTAAGGGTATATGTAGTCATATCAGAGTGATCGGTCATTAGCTTTACCAGGAATAGTCCACATGGATATTTACATTAATTCTTAGATACCAGGCCCACATTTACATCATTTGGTGTACAGCGTACAATACATGCAAGCCTGTTCATTGTTAAGGTATAAAGTACAGTATATGCCCTCATGTTAATTGCTAGGAGTTTGGTTTACAGTATATGCCCTCATGTTCATTGCTAGGAGTTTGGTTTACAGTATATGCCCTCATGTTAATTGCTAGGAGTTTGGTTTACAGTATATGCCCTCATGTTCATTGCTAGGAGTTTGGCTTACAGCATATGCCCTCATGTTCATTGCTTGGAGTTTGGTTTACAGTTTAACCCTCCTGTTAATTACTATATGTATGGGATACAGTGCATGGCCCCCTGATAATTGCTATGTGTATAGAGTACATTCCATGCTTACCTGATAATTATTAGGCACATAAGTACAGTACATGCCAACATATTCATTGTTAGGTGTATAGAGCACAGCACATACCCACCTGTTGATTTATAGGTTTATAGAGTAAAGTACATGCCCACGTGTTAATTCTTAGGTATATGGTGTACCGTGCATGGCCACCTGTTAATCCTAGATGTATGGAATGCTTATATGCCCACCTGTTCATTGCTAGGTGTATGGAATGCTTAACATAACCACCTGTTAATTGCAAGGTGTTTAGAGTACATTACATTGAGACCTGTGAATTGCTAGGTGTATGGAGTACAGTACATGTCATCTTTTAATTGCTACAAACAAACATATCATGTGGTGCTATTTTTTTTTGTCTCCAGAGCTGTTTCATTTAAAATGACTATAACTACCATATTTAGACACAGTGATTTTTGAGACTCGGATATTTGACTTCAGCTTGTCATATGGGACTCGCTCAAGTTTTTAAAACCCATATCTATAAGTTACGGAACTTTAGAAATTGTTGTTGAACTAGCCTGAAATATACCACAAAAATACTTTGACTAAGCATTATATACTTGTAGATATGTCTATGATTTACCATTTCACAGTTTATTCAGATAACATTTTACATTATTTAATTTATATTTTGATAATTCAATATCTACTTCAATTCATGTAAATCTCAGTTTTTTTACATTGGTATTTAAGGTTTGTGGAGGCGCTTAGAGCACAGCTTCGAGAGAAGATTGAACTAAAAGGGATCCAGTTACCTCCCCTTTGTTGCTGCGGCAACACAGTGTGGGATACTAATCCAGAAACATGTGCAAACAACTGTGTATTCTACAAAAACCCCAGAGGTGAGACAGACCTATAATGTGAATCATATATGTTTTTATTGTAAGCTTTTGAATTTCACGTTCATTAACCTATCCGCTGAAGTAAGATAAGCATTTCCTCATATTCGTAGTGTAAAAAGTTCTTTTGAAAATAATATTTTTGTCTGGTTTTGTCTCGTTGGATATAAAAGAGGTGCATTTGGCTAGTATGACTCACCTTTTACATACACCTCTCTTAGTTTATGGGTGTCAAAGTGGGCATGTCACACCTTTTACATACACCTCTCTTAGTTTATGGGTGTCAAAGTGGGCATGTCACATTAAAAGATTTTTTCTTCTACATCTGATGGGATAATAGGTCAAAATCATTTTTGTTATAAAACATGTTAGACTTTTTTCTGATATTCTTGCTAGCCAGTTATTTTCTCTAGTCTCTTAATTATTTAAAAATAATTGGAAAGTGAAAAAAATAAGAATTTATTGAGTATTCATAAAAAAGAAATTAATATCATTCAGTAATTGTTATACTAAATATTGTTCTGTTCTGCTTTTTTTCCAAAGGTTTTGCCAAAGCACTGCAGTCATTGCTGATTTCTTGTGATGTATCCTGATAAGGGGACTTGGTCCTGCCTAGTCAAAGATCACTATTTCAGCATTCATCATGTAAAACTGAATTACAGTGTATCACATCAAAATGGATGGATGTAACATTTTGTACCAATAAGTTGAAGGGAATACCTGTTCACTTGGAACATACAAGTAGACAGACCGCATCTTGTAGCAAGTTATTATGGAAGTGATAGGCTATCAATGATGTGTGGTGAAGTCTGATGTTCATTACAGAATGAATTCATCCTAACAGGCAGTACTGAAAAAAAATGAATGCAAGTCAAGACACCTGGCCTGAAGATGCTACAGAAAGCTTGTGCAGGTCACATGATTCTTTTCCTTCTTTAAAGCTTTCTGTACTGAACCTATAGCTTACATCTAGTTTCTCCCAAAACCGGAGACCTGTAGTATTTTTATATTTCCTAAGGAAAGGAACAGAATTTCGATATCTTGTACAAGATCAGAGAAACTCCAGACAGAATTCCACAGAATGAATGCATTCACAAGTTTTTTTTGGTGGAAGATAAGTCTGTCTATGGCAGTCACTGCACATCTAAGAGGAAAGTGATCTGTGATGTATACTGTACAACAGCATTGACTTTGCAAATTGTATTTGATAATGGACAAATACCAGTTGCAATGTGAAAAGAAGTGATCAAAATTAATGTTATTTTAGAATTTGATGCACATATATAATTGATTTATCCAGCAATAGGCCCAGAGGTAAAACACAACTATACACTTATGTAATAGGCAAGGATTATTACAAGACAATAAGCTCATATGGCCATCACACATTAACTCACTTATATCAGGGGCTAGGCTTATTATAGGAAAATAATACAAGGGGCCAACACCTATCTACTCACTAATGAAAGGGGCAGGGCTCATTTCAAGACAATAACCCCAGGGGACAAACACACATTTACACACTTATGTCAGGAACTTGGCTTATTACATGACAATAAGTCAAAGGGGCAAACACACAACTCTCACTTATGTTAGGAACAGGGCTTATTACAGGGTAATGAGATATGTTGGTGGACTTTTAACAAGACACAGACTTATTGTCAGGTAAATATGGTCGATATTAATGAATTATTCTTAGTATAAATTGTAGCCATTTTTCATTTGAAAAATTGTATTTAGTAATAATTTAATTAGTTTCAGGTTTTGTTAATGTATGTAAGTATAAAGGCTATTCCCATTGTTAATTTAAAGATTTAGTCAGACCCATAGTGTTAAATTTTGTATTCATGGTTTCAGTCAATAGTGAAGGAGAGAGAATGTATGAAACAGTTAGTCATGATTAGGTTATGATCAGGGTGGGTACGAGATTGAAAGTTGTTTGAGGGACTCAACTCTTTCCCTGCTGCAAGCCAAACCACCTTGTCTGATGAAAAATATACACAATTTGTGAAGGATGATGGCCCTTATGACCTTTTATGTGTTGCCAGGCCGTTAAGAATATGATAATAATAATAACAACAGTCTCTGACATTTTTCTGTTTATTTTTTAATCAGTTTTTATTTTGGCATCACATTTTAAAACAATTTTGAAATTCTTTTTAGTCATAAATAAAACATGATTTCAGAAATTTTAATGAATGCACTGTGTTACATATTTGTAATACTGTATTTTTATGCTCACACCAATAAATGACCAAGGTCATATAGCTTTGACCATGGACCTGTCCACATTATCACCCTGCTAATTGCTTTAGGATATTAATTTTTCTAATGGAGGTTACTTTGATGTCATGACCATGATGTTTTAAAATGCCATCTTAGAAAGAGAAAAATATATCTTTCAGATATGTTTTAAATCTAAGTGTTTGATCCAAAATATAGAAGCTGAAATTTGGTTTTGTTTTCCTTAAGGTGAGAGCTTGCACATTTCAAAAGTGCTCCCTATTTTCAAAGGAGTTTGTTTAATCAAAAGACAAAATCATTACACATCAGAAATACATGTATAGAAATCAAACAGAAATGTCAAAAGGTAATTCAGTGAAGAAACAAATTGAAACAACACTCTGGTACCGGTCACAAATTATCTTTTTTAACAAATTGGCTGCTCTATAGACAAATTCATGTCATGAACTTTTATATGTTCATAAACCAAAGTAGTCTAAATTATTCAAATGCTCCATCAATGTTTTGGTATTAGTTTGGTGTTGTTTACTCTTCGCTGCTACACTGTTATAAATAAATGTTGATAAAATGTCAGAATAATTCAGATTACAGGTAATATTTAATTGTGAATCCATGGGAAAGCTGTGACTGTTAGACAAAAGATAAAGACTAGGAATGAATGAGTGATGTCAGAATGAGTTCTAAGTGACAGGGGATATTAATATTGCTTTATGTTTTGTTTTATAATGTCATTATTTAAAATTCTCATCAATTGTAATAGATATTTATAATATCAAGCCTTGTATGCTGTTGTATTTATATATATGAGAGTCAAAACATTTATTTTATCCATACACAAATACCATACTTAATAGTTTCACAAGTTGATTACACTTAAACAGAATTATGGTCAAAAGAAAATTTACTGGATATTGGATACTAAATTAAAATTTGCTTGAGAATACAATAAGGATTATATTGACATGATATTACATTATCATTTTACACTGCACAAATACCGGATCTTTTCTCTAATAAAAGCAATTGATTGGTTTTTCTAATCCATTGTTCTTAATCATATAGAGACAGGATTAAAATACTGGAAAAAACAAAAGTAAATAACTCAGCAGAAAAATTCAAAATCATAATGCCATTCAGTGAAACATCATTACATGTCATTGCTATAAAGTTCATCATTACTCTTGCAGAAAAATTGGAGAAAAGTTGAGGATGATGACTGAACAAGATTGAAATTGCTGAAACAAAATGTCTTTCAAGAAAACACCATTTTATGTCATAATTATACTGAGAAATGAGTTGAAAACAGGGAGGATAATCTCCAGACAAGGTTAACATTATGAACAACAAGGGGCACTAACTCTGCTTAATACAAGTGAATCAAACTATCATTCAGGAAAACAAAACTTCATGCGTTTGTTATTAATACTACCATGATTCAGAAAATTAATCAGTAACTCTTCCTAGTATGGTAAAATCAAATTATGGTGTGCTATCAAGGAAGATGCATTTTCATGTCACAGAGTTTTAAGTCTACAGAGCATGAAACAGATTGGATGAAAACTGCATGAAAATATTTTTTTACTTTCATTTCTGATCGATGGACAAATGTAAATGCAAATGCATATAGTATTGTCTACTCTTTTGCGAAATTACATCTTTTTTCGCATGATTTCAAATGCTGAATTTTGATCAAATGAAATAAGAAAAGTGTATGATCTACCAGCTCTGCAGGCAAGGTAAATAAATTCAACACTAATAGCAGACAGTTCTAATTCTGAACATTAAAAGAGAAAACAAGATAATACAATTAACATTTTATTCTTTAATGCGTGGTAAAAGCCACAGGCATTCATATTTAATACAGAGACTAAATGAGAATTTTATAGCTCATCTGTTCACAAGGAAACACTTTGAAGAGTATAGTCAGAAAAAAATTATGTTCCTGTTATACCTTTTTCTCCAGTAGGTTCCATGTGAAATAAGACAACCAAGGATATTGTTATTATCATTATTATTAGACCAGTTATTAGCCCTTCATCAAATTATGTCATTGACCTAATATAATAGTATTTGACCCCTGTGACATTGAAAGAGGATCAGGGTAATTTATTTCAGCAAACTCTATAGTCATTCACACCAGCATACTGCTAGCCCAACATCAAGCAGACATAAATGTAGATAACTATAGATGTGAACTTCCAATATGACTGAAGAGAAAACTGACAAATCATTATCACATAAAGTAGCTGAATTTTAGCAACATAAATGAAACTTTTATTTTAATATTTTCATTGACACACATCATTTGATGCAATGTAACCAGTACATTTTATATATTACACTTGCAGTAGTAAATTTTAACATCAAAATACACGAAATTTTTTCACAAGAAAATGTGACATAAAATTGCAATACCTCACAAGGATTGACCATAAAAAAGTGATATAAAAATATTAATATAACTGAATGTATCTAGATCAGACATCAAAAATGGCACAAGTACAATATTTAAACCCCAAAAATGTTATAAATAATCTATTTCTACTTTATGTATAAATTTGAACTTAAAGACAAAATTTGTAAGAAAAAAAATGTTTAAACCTATATTAATCACATAATTAAGATAGGTTCTGTTACACCCATTATCTAGATTGTTATGACCATAGATACAAAACCACCTTACTGAGCTGTGATTGGCTGAAGATTGTTGTTTTGATCATAACGCCATAATCTCATACTTTCAAAAATGAACTGTATATGGCAATTTAAATACATATTTTTTCAAAGATATATTTGCCAGGGAATATTTAATGTATACAAGTATCAGATTACAGTCATTTCCTATCTACTCAGATATTCTGATCATTGTGAATATTAAAACTAAGCATTACAGACATGCAACAGCGTTGTGATTCATATCTTTTAAAGGCTAATTCTATACATGTCAAAATTTTCAACTGTGTGGTGGGTCTTGTAATACATTGGCATATAGAAATATATTGCAGAACTGGTCATGAAAGTTGGTTCCCTGATTCATGAGACAATGACGTCTCGTGTTGCACCAATCACACAATAAATGGATCTAATACTTCATTGCGTAAAGATGAGTACATTCCAATGTGAGTAAAAAGATTAGGTTGCACCATAAGACCAGTTTTCTTAAAAGTTGTTCTAAATTTTTCAAGTGCATAATCTTTTCCAAATGTCTCTTTACAACGAACTGATGATAAGTAACTTAAAACTTCCTCCATGCCTTTACTTGGGTACAAAATGGCGGGGGTACAGCATGCTGGGGCACGTGTTACCTGGTACAGTTGACTTGACATTCGGCGTAGTTCTAATAAGTTCTGACGACCAATTAGTAATAACAGTGAACAAGAGTAAACAAAAAAACAAAACCATAAAATGCGGGTATAGGACGAAGTAATTGGACGATATTTCCGATAACAAAACATCATTACTGTGCTCATAAGAAAACTCAAACAAAAAAGTTCCGGAATTCTCTCTGGTTCGAGGCTGATATACCCGAGCAGACGCTCTGGATGATAAAATTTGATATAAGTAACATTCTTTTGGTGATGTATATGATCTGATTTTGTCTTGTCAAATACATTGGAAATTACTCTATCCAACACTGGAAGTAGATCTTCATGTGGAAGAGCATCATCTTCTACGAGAAAGATGTTTGATACATTTGCATTCAACGTCTTACGGCCACAAAATACATAATCTCTTTTCTCTTTCTCCAAACGCTCACTGATGCTCATAGTTGACCATACCACAGTAACATTTAAATCACTTCTAAATCTTTGGAAAATTGGCACTAATTTGGATAAAGGCTTGATTTCAGCATACGAGGAGGAATTGGGATCAACATCACACAAAAATAGCTGATATGTGTGTTTTAAGTTGGATGTTTCCTCTATGGCTTTCATAAATTTGGCAACAACTTGTGTCAAATATTTTGGCTCGTAATTATCAAGACGGTGTCGATTTCTGGAAACAGTTATTATAGTTATACCAACATCAATGTGGTTCATAGTTTCATGGCCCACATTAGGTTCATGAAGAGTTCTTGCATCACTGACTTTTTTAAGATATTCATTTGCTTCTTCTATTCTTTTATTGTTATCTGCCCTCATTCTATCACGACCTTTAGCAACATTCTTTTCCCATAACAGGTAGTACAATGAGTGTCGTAGGTGGAGACAGATGATTGGAAGGATAACACAGAAAGTCACCACACACAGGCATGTAAATTGGCTAACAAACACTCTGTCCACTGCCTTCAAACATTTAAATTGTCTGCACATTGTTGATGTCCTTAAAAAACAAAGAAACAAAAGAGAGATTAACCATAAATCAATTATGGGAACAAAAGTTTTGTAAAGCTTTCAAGGATAGGTCAATTGGACCTTAATGTTATGTGAAAAATTCTAATAACTCACAATTCAACACTAACAGTGACATCAAGTGTCCTCTATGTTCAGGTCAGACAATACAATTTAGTTGGGGTAAGTTTGGGTTGTTCTGTTATCGAGAAGTTTTAGTGATCTGCATTCATCTAGAAATATATCATCTATCAAATTTTGACTTAACTAAATAATACAGAACTGTCAAAATATAGGCTATGTATGTTTCTTTTCAGATTATGGATCTACTGTATCAAACAGTATGCATGTTAATACACAAGATACAATCGTGCTATGCATTACATCTGAACATTACCTCTAGCTGTATAATCAACTGCTATTACATGATCAGTCATCATAATGCCCAAATCACTGGCATAAAATCAAACAAGGTGTACATGACTTCAGTTCATTTTACAGAAATCTACATTCCTATATACCAAAATGGAAGTCCTGGTTAGCTTGCAGGAGGCCGAAAAACAAGAAAATACCAACATAGTCTTTATCCAAACTCAAATTCAATACAACTAGGGCAAAATATGAGCAAAAAAAAGATTTACACAGAGATTCAGGAGAATAAGACCAGATGTCCTTGACAACACCTACCATGTAAAAATGGGATGGTGGACTTATTATCAGACCCATGCCAAATTCCCTAATGCGTACAAGGAATTCAAAATTCCCTAATGTATACAAGGAAATCAAAAGTGACAATGGAATTATTATTAAGCATTGGCATATTGCAAGAAAAGGACAGAATCCTGATGACTAGGCCTCTGTGTTGCAAAAACTTTGATTTTTCAAATTAAAAGGTTTTGGCACTACGACCTCCTTAGTACACATACATTAATCACACATCTTACTTATTATTCTTAAACATTCCTTTCATACATATAAAAGTTCTGACTAATGTAAATCAAATAGAATTTGTGGCTACTTTATTTCGCAGACTCATCTGTAAAGACATATTTGCAAATACATGATTTCACGAATGCTGATCAAGAAATGACTTTAAATTTTCCAATGATGAGCTAATAGAGATCAAGGTTCTTCAAAACTCTGATATTGGTAATTGTATCAATATGAATGCCATCCATAGGTATTGTCATACAAATAATTGCCAAAGATTTAAATTTGTGATTGAACCTCCTTGCATATTAATGCTAAAAATAAATCCCACGGGTGTATTAGCGATCATAGCTACTGAGGCATTGGCCCATTTAACCTACCTAAAAAAGATCACATTCATGTCCATGAGTGCCTGTGATGTCAGCTAGCTAGCACAGTTCAGTCAGTGGGACTATATCATAGGTACTTGGGTTTAATGAAAAATTTGTTTTCAAAATGCGTAGCTTTCCATTACACACTACCTTAGATTTCTCTTTCCTACTTGCCATATAAACAACTCTCCATTATACAAAAATGATACTCAATATGTTTGGTATATTGGTCCATCATTTGGTAGAGGTAGAAGATTAGTCTTCAAAAGTAGTGTGATGTGAAGGCTATGCTTACTGAAAATAGTATAGATGTTTGAAAGCTTAAATCTAACAGAATCTGAGTGCACGCAACACTTGTGAAAACACATTTTTATAGTGTAATAGGAAGGAGTAATGAAAAACACTCCACTCACTACTTCTACATTAATCCCTTCTTCATTTAGTAAAAAAAAAACTACAACAAAAATCTGGTTCGATATCTCCAAGTAGAATCTCAATCTCCTATAGCTTCTACACTTGGAATGGACTTTGGCACCAAATCTGTAGTAGGACTAAGACATGAAAACCACCAGATTAACAAGCGGCTCCTTTGACTTAAGAGAAATTCCCATTAGCCAATGCCATAATTTTCTACACTTGTAATCAAGTACCTATTGCCTATAGAAGTAATCTCAGGGCATACTATTACATATCTAAATTTCGGCTCTCTCTTTAACCTGACGGAAATACTCTGAACCTGCATTTTGAATGCTGCCCATTTTCATGATGTAAACTTACCGAAAAACAGGCTCTGCAACCCGGATACGTATATGGATCCGGAGTTCTTCTATGTTTGGAGGTAAAATACGTCGTTTGAAAGTGAAAGTAAATGGCAAACCTTAAGAATGTGACATTCTGCAGCTCTGAATGTCAGCTTTTAATATTATGCTTTAGTTTCGTATTTTTTCGCGTCAAAATGTTCTATACAGTTTACAATACTTGATAATTATTTTTCACTTAATTTCACATGCGGTTACCATTTTAATGTCACATTCCAAACCTTAAACGGTTCAGGTTGTCACTGTACACGAAAACACATGTACCGGATGTTGGACGTAATTGATGTAAAGCTCAAAATACACCAGGCCCCACTTGTATGAAACATCTCAACTTGAGATTTCCTCAAGTCGAGATTTTCCTCAGCTGATATCTCCTCAAAAACGGCTTGTATAAAATTTGCTCAAGGAACAGGAGGAAGTCATTGGCTAGGATGTCAGAAATTCCTTGAGGAATTTTCATACAAGATATTTTCAAGGAGATATTAGCTGAGGAAAATCTGGGCTTGAGGAAATATCAAGTTGAGATGTTTTATACAAGTGAGGCCAGATCTATTTCAGAATTTTCTATCAAGCATAAATCAATTCACGAAAATTAAAATACCATCCATTTAACTCATGCTTCCGGAAATATTTGATATGTTCTTGGCGTTTTCCTTGCAGTTTTAACCAGTCCAACCGTTTTAACCGCTTACGCGAAAGCGACCTTAAATCAATTCCGAGCACAAGCGACAGCAGACATCGATGATTGATGTATTTTTTTTATTGCAACTGACAATCACTAGAGAACCCAAAGAAGAGTAACCTTCATTTTTTTCTGAAATAGGATGAAGTCATCTCTGGCCCCCTCATTTATGTGGACATCCCGTTAGGTTTTATAATTTTCAACTTTTCATGATTTTATATGTATATATGTATATATACCAAAGTTGAAAAAAATGAACAAGGCATAGTTTTGACTTGAGATTAAGTGGTAAAAATTCAGGCAAAAGATGGGGGAAAATTTAAACTGGTTCTATTTTTTAAGAATAATTGCAAGTACACTGTAGATGTCAATAGTGTAACTAATTCAGTGATTCATATACACGTTAATTGAAGAGTTTGCAAAAATGCAACTGAATTATCTTCCATTTTCAAGATTTCAAAAAGACAGTTTCTATTCAAACGGATAATATCTGTATACATTTACAAGTATACAGCAATAAAAGCTTCAACGCTTCTTTCAAAGGTGTTTTATTATAGACAAAATATGCCATATTTTGGCGCGGTTACATGATTTAACTGAAGACAATTGATGTGATCTCAATTTGGCTGTATGGGTTTTTTATCAGGCCATAAAAATCTGCATTAATATTATTTATCTATTTATTTGAATTGAACTTTACTTGTTGGTAGTTTAATGAGTAAACAATCCCAGAAAAATAAGTGTTTTTTTCAATGCTTGGTAATGGAAATGTTTTCGTACCATCATAGAGGAAACCTTGATTTTTCCAGAGATGAATGTTGTTTGTAATCTCGGTCAAGCCGTGAAAATCAAGGATTTGTATGCTAACATTGAGAAAATGTTGCGATATTTACTCGTCAAGAATTGGGGTTGCTTTACAACCAAAGAAACCCTATCTATACATTTGCCAGACACTGCTACGGAATAAAAAGTTTTTAAAAAATGTCACTCCTCTCCAAGCTTCCATTTTCCACAAATATATTTCTGTAGGTTTCAACCACTTATAAATACAGCATGTTTACAAGATGTTTTAAAATTTCAGCTTTCTATAATCTTAAATATGGAATTTAAGGTAAAAATGCTAAAGATATGAGAATTTGCAATATTCGTTTGTAGCATACCATGTGATAAATAAAGACAAGTAGCTAAGAATAACATTTTAAAGTACAAAAAGATGCCATCGATTTTTTTCTTTTTGAAATGAAGTGTTATAAAAACATGACGTACTATCTATTCAAATAAATTAAACATTCTATATACATTAGTTAACGTCGAATTCGAAACAAGAATATACATAAATAGATAATATTAGAACGTCCGAATGTCTTCCCTATATGTACACTACCAAACCTTATTTAAAACTGAAGAGACATACTTATGATAATATTAATTTTGATGTCTTTATATTTTTTCTTCCTAATGTCTCTTTTGACGGCACTTATTGTTGGCCTCAGAGTAGGGCGTCCACAGAAGTGATAATGTCCCCAAGCCTTGCCATACAACACGATGCGAATGCTATATGACAAGATGGAGATCACACCACGGTACCCGTCAGTGGCCCATAATCTTTTAACACCTTAGCAGTTGTATGGAGATTAAAAACCAAAACAAACGACAGACTTGAAAACTTGAAACTTTTAAATTACGTTATGTAACTTATGGCATGAAGAAAATTCCAATAAACCTAGGCATCCACCAACAGAGTCGATTACTAGCAATCTTATAGAATCGTTTAAAAGACACACAAGTGAATAGCTAATTTAGAACATGCACTAGAGCCAAAGTATGACTCAAACTGTATCCTACAACTACTCCTTTTAGGACTCTTCAATGATGCTAAAGGCCTAAACTATTAAAAGCAATGGAGCGGCTGGGGGAATTAAAATTGGTCGGAATTAAGATGTTGTTTAGTTGTTTAGGAAGATATTTAGATTCTTATAAAACAAAATATTGTTGATAAAATGTTGAATAAATATAATGTTTTATTTGCATTCTCAGCAGCAACACATTGTTACGAGTTGTTTTTTTTGTGCAAATTTGTCCTCAAAGACGAAAAAGTAAAAACAACACCGGTCCGATATTGCAGGATTTCATTTTAACACTAGGGCATGCATGTATGTAAATAATAATATGAAGATACAACACAAAAAAATCAGTGTAGGAACACAAATAGGTAGAAAAAATATATAGATAAATATATATAAATATTATTTTGAGATCAACATAAATTGCTAAAAAGGATTATCACGTAAGTCAGATATCAATGAAATATTCCTGTTTCAAATTAATACAGCACTATGACTAGCGTTCACATGTTACAAGTTACAACCTATTCATGTATTTGTTCATACTACATTGAATTCAAACTGTCAACAAATAACTTTTATATAGTTTGTAGACATAAACATAATCATACTAACATACTTATTTACATTTGTCTATATCATTCTCATACGGTTAATGGCAAATATCATAGCAAAAGTTCGAAAAAAAATATCCTAAATTAAGATAAAAAAAACTTGAAGATAAATTATTAATAAAGAAAGGACTCCTAAGATCCTTGCATCTTAAAAAAAATCACCAAAACATAATATTATCGGGGAAATTAAAGTGATGAAGATGTATTTTGATTGTGAATTATACAAAAGTCATGATATACCTAGAATTTATCTTAGGATTAATTTCATGAAAAAATCTACAAATAATACACTTTCTGCTCATTTGATCGTAACTTCAACATAATCAGACATTTTTCAAACATTATGTCCCCACGTTTACCTAAATGTAGTAACAAGCTAATCATAATACATGGAGGTTTGAGGTGAAAACAAACCACTCAGGAGTTAACCGAGTCATGCTTACTGATATTTGTGTATTTGATGATGAGATCATTGTAGAACTCCTCAGCCTCCTTTACAGAAACGTAATCTCGCATACTTCTAGAAACTTTATTTTCCTCATTAAAATTACTGGGTAGTACATCTCTTTTGATGAATACCTCTATTGTACCGTTGATACTTGTTATAATGTTTTGTAGATTACACATTGCACCATAGTGTCTATCCTCTAGGGATTCATACATGTTTACATATTCGCCGTGATGGAATTGTTGTTCATCCCATTTCGATTTTTCTAAAAACGCTGCAAACACCGATAGCATTCTGAAATCGTCGTTGAAACTTGCTGTCATCTGTTTAACGATAGAAAAGATACATTTGTACATGTTTATGAAAACAACGGTTTTAAAGAAAATTGAAACACAGACAAACTGTCTAGAAAAATTAGATACGGTATGTAAAATACACTGTTTAGAGAAAAAGTTACCTATGTCAAAACTCCTGTATGTATTGATCTTTAATAAACATTTCATAAGTCATACAAGCAAAAACCATCGTTAAGTCGTTTGGTTACATGATCAGGATGAATTAAAAACATAAACGATAATTCATGCATTTTTTAAAAGGAAGATCCACAAAGTAATATATTCTAGACAGGATAACCTGATTAAGTTACAATTTTCCTCCGCTATACTGCGCTCGTTGAAAATATATATATTACATTTGTATTTTAGTATATATGCGAAGTCTGGCGGAGAGTAGAAAAAACTCCGTCAGGCAATCCCGCCTATAATGTAAAGTTGGTAGGTTCAAATATGTCAAAACAACATATTTAATAGATTCTGACCTTTAATATATATGACAACAAAATGACTTTCTAAGTTCGACTAACTTACATTTCTTAGGTCGCTGCTTGTTTCCCAGTTTACGGCTTGAGGGAGTCCATCGTGGGTTGCATTTCGCAGCAAATCCATCAAGTATTCGGGGTTATCTAATCGATCCGTGGCCTGTGATTGGTGGTATTATAGACGTGTAATTAATTAATTAACCACGACATTAATAGAACATTTTTATATTATCAATTTTTTATTGAAGTACCTTTTCAAACTTGGATAAAAGTAAATAAAGGCTAGTATTTACTAGTCCGGAAAACGAACTGTTTTATGTAATGCATTAAAATATTGACGGCTCATGAAAATAACGAAATTTAACTTCCTTTACTTGATAGCTTATAATGGAAGTACCATCTTATGAAATAAAAGGGAGATGAAAATTTAAAGCGGTGGTCAAGTGGCCCCATTATCGTCAATGATAGTCTTCCTGAATCTTAGCAAACGAGAAGAGGTTAATCAAACACGCCAACCCCATAACAAAAAAAAATTAATAAAACTAATTTAAAAACAAATCTACAAGGAGAACAAAATAT